TATCAGCCATAAGAAGCATGAAAAATTTCAACCCCGAGGTACTAAAACATCCCAAAAGTCATTTTCAGTAATCTATGGATACGAAAAATCCGTTCTTAAATTTTTGAGCGAATAATACAAAAAATGTGAAAAGAGAAAAAGACACTTCCGCCCACGCTATTAGATGTGAGTGTAATTAGTTTCATTGGTTCACTATGAAAACAACAACCAGGCACAACGCCAGCTCAGCCACGACAGGCCGGCCCACTCTCGCTACACTATCAACCATATCAGCCTGATCGTCGAAACGAAGAAGTTCGTGAGTCTGTTTTGGGGTTTTGGTCTAAATTCTTTTGCTCTAAAGCTTTCTAAAGTCACCTCAGGATGTTTTGTTGCCTTCTCTAACTCATAAAAAACCGCTTTTTAACTTCAAGGAATGTGCTTTTCCGAAAAAGTGCGAAAAATAAGATCTGGGCACGTTAACTTCATTCTGTTTAGCATCAGTGGGTTTCTTTATTCTATCAATACAGGCCTATTATCTGTACCGATGGATTTGTGGTTTTACACGACACCGATACACTCGCCAACAGAATCTCGGCCCTGTCGCTTATATTGGAAAGTTTGGGAATTCCTTGATTAGATTTAAGATTAATATTTAACTAAACTGACTTTAACTTTCTAGCTTTAGATCCCTGTGGCTAAAGTGAAGTCCATGGAAAGAATAATGGGCGCTAGACGTCTTTGTTTGCCCAAGGTCAATATAAATATAAAGGTATAAAATAATGAAACTGCCCGATGCTTAGCGAAACGATGTTGGGTTTCGCACACGTTGTTTTAATTCGAATGGGCCAGGTTGCAGTTTGAAATTTGCTAATCTTTACTAGGTTTTTACAAAAGGAAACAACAGGACACCTACAGGCCACTTTAGGAAACTTTACAAGAGCAAAAGCATTTAGGTGAAAACCAAAAAAAACTCACAAACTTCTGCGGTCCGGTGTTTAGGCTGTTGGAGAGTCGCAGGCGTCTCGTGGCTCGCGTTGCACCCGAATTCCGGGGGCCGGCAGAAATAGCTCTGCAAAAGAACAAATAATAAGGGAGTTTCCTTTCAAATAGCAAAGAGAGACAAAAATTCAAATAAAATAGGCACCCGTTAGGGAAGGGCTGGTAGAATAAATGAGCGTTTAGGAAGTTTCGCGCGTTTTCCCCTTAATTCAAATTCAAGATACTCAGCTAACTGGCCAAAGGCTCATTTGCCTTAGGTAATAATAGATTTGCCAATGGATATAAAAAGAAAGAAAAGATTTGCCGAGGGGTTCTAATTGTCTAATTGTCTAATTGTCTACTTTTTTTTGCGAAATCAAAATCCCACCCTCATAGTAGTGGAAATCCGGATTCAACACCATTCCTATAGATTTTTTATCAAAGTAAAACAAATGCTATTCAATCAGCCAAAAGAGATCGGTCCATTCTTGGTCAAGGCGTGCTTGACTTTGGCCATTTGGAAGGGCATCAAGTTGCCGACACTTTCCAGCTGTGCAGCAACGTTTATCTGGAAAAAAACAGCCTTCCAGCTGTGTCTGTTTGTTATTTCTGTATCCCGGTAAAAAGTCCGGTAGATCTTCAAAAATTCTCAAATTTTAAATAACAAACATTTCTCTTGCACGTCGAATTACTGGACTCCTTGTAGGGGATCGACTTCTCGGTGGTTTGACCTTCGCTGTTCAGAAAATAACTGAAAAATAGAAAAGTAACTGGAAAAATAACTTGAGTTTCGTCGTTTTTCAGTATCAGAATTACTTTGATATCATGTTTCAGACAATGTTTTTCATCAATTTCCAAAATTTCAACTAGACTTTGATAGAGCTTATTCTGAGCTATCGAAATCCGACTTGAATTTCACGATTGGTTAACGCGAACGTACTCAAATTTGGATCAAAAATTGGGCCAACGCCGATCGTAAGCCAGAATCAGAATGGCGCTTTATAAAAAAAAGCAAAAAGAATGAAATTGCGCGCTTTCTTTTACAGGGTGACAAGAAATAATTTGGAATATTTTTGGGTACTCAAAGGTCACCAATCGAAAGAACATTTCTCAAAAAGGGTCATTTTCTTTGAAAACTAGATTCCAGATTCAGTTACAAAGCTATGAATGATGGGGTACATTTTGAAAGCCACTCCCTCACTGGAATCCCGTTTATTTTGCTCATTCCAGGCTCGGAATGGCCAAAATTGATCAAATTGGATGTGTTTTCGTTTTTTCAAGCAAATCGGCGATAAAATTCATTTATTCATCAAAAAAAGGAAAGGTTTACAAAGTCGAGATCAAGAAAAAAGAAACACGACGCGTACTGTGCTTTGTCTTGTCTGACTGGAAAGACTGAATATCTTTTAGAGTCTCTAATTGAAGTTAGTGATAGTAAACTAATGTCTGGTTACTGTAGTATCCAAGAAATTGCCACTTTACAGTACCTTTGCTTTACTTTACACTTTACAGTACAGTATAGTTCGCCTAATCACCTCTAGATTCTGGCTCGGGATTCCCTTCTTGACGATTGATTGCACGATCTCTTCAAAGTGATTTTCTTTCGTTCGAGGCATTACCAACCTTTTAATTGAAGTCTTGGCAAAAACATCGTGGTAAAAGTCAAATGCCAAGTGAAATGTGGATTCAAACAAAGGGCAGGAAACCAGAGAGGCGTAATTTTTACCTAGATTTTTACCTAGATGGACTCGTTCACAATCGTGCACCTGATTTATAATGAAATTCTCAAAAAGCTCTTTGATGACTTGATTTTCTCTAAACAAATCGTCAAAGTTAATGTTCACTCTAAAATCGGCATTTCTTTTAATCTTCGAGCGGAAATTCTCAAGGAATGTTAGCAAACACTCGTTTCCGTCTACAAAGAGATCCAAATCTTGAACAGAATTCAATTCAAGATTCAAAATCTTCGCTGGTCGGTCAATGTCGAACTCGTCGCTGAAATGTATCGATAATCGGTCACACGAGTGGGTTCGTTCGACCAATGGAAAAAGGAGATCGGCATCTCATTGTATGCGTTTGTCGAAGTCAAAAGGAAATTTTTGGCTCGAAATCTTGTCACGAAGCCTGATTTCGCACACGTGACGCCCAGAAACCATCCAGGGTTTTCGTAGTAGAATCGATCCAAAACCTCCATTCACCTTGACCAATTCAATCGCCATCCGGAGCTCGCCATCCAAACGTCCTCCTTCTAAACTTGCCATTAAGCTCTTGTAAATGCTTTTCTTCTGCTTAGAATTTTTAAAAACTTACGGTCCACCCAAAGCTTGACGATATCCGTTTCAATGTGAACAAATTGAAGTCCATAACAACAGATCGAAAAGAGAATGATAACCATTAACAATGTAGGCATTTGCCTAAACATTAATAATTTTTTTAAACAAACATTGGAAGTTTACTTGAACAAAGTTTCCGAAGCGATTGAGACCTTTTTGAATGAAACTCCGCGTATACAAGGCACCAATATTTCCATCAGCTTGCTCATGAATACAAAACTGCTTAAAAGACTACTATTTGATGACTTTACTCGTCGGATCTGTTGAAGACCTGGATCAGCATCACAGAATGAGGAGTGTTGTCTGAAATCCTTTTCCATTTTTCCGTGTAGTTGCTGGAGCTGGTCGGCCAAACGAGCAAGTTGTCCAAGAACTAAAATAAAAGTATTAAGAATAATTGTTTAAGCATCTAAACAATCAATATTTCAGTTAAAACAAACTCAAATTTAGTTTTGGCAAGCAAAAATCAAACTTTAGAATATTTTCGTGGATCGGGTCCTCAATTCTAACTTTTAGCAATCAAAAACGAATATCTACAATCTGCCTTTCTACTCAAAACACTCTCTAATCCAAAAACTAAGCAAGAAAGTTCGAAGCAAGAATGTTGGAAGCGTCTGCTAAAGTTTTGGTTCCAAAAGGTAAAGCCATTTCAATCAAACTTTGATAAAAATAAGGGCACACTCTGAAAACCATTTGCAAATTTTACCTGAATACTCTCGTAAAATCTGCTGGAAATTTGACGCACCCAGCTTTAAGAAATCGCTCCAGTTTAGTTACGCAACTAGAAAACTGGCACAACTATTCTGCTTTATGCTTACTGATTTCCTTCCATACTGAAAATAGACGCTGTGCCATTCAGGTAGAAAATCCCAAACAAGTCTAAATTTGAACGAAATTCACTCGCTTTAGAGCCTAAAACCGTCCCAAAAAGATTATAAATGATTCCACAAAGATTCCAAATAATTCGAAAAGGTTTTGGATAACTCCAGAAAGCTCTTAAAAAAGTCCGAATGACTACAAAAAGGTTCCAAACAATTGCAAAAAGATTCCAAAAAGAATCAGGAAAAGTCCAAAAAGTTCAGATAACTGTAAAAAGTTTACAAAAAGAGTCCAAATAACTCCAAAAAGATTCAAAAAGGTCGTATAAAACTGCACAAATTTCCAAATAACTCAGTCTTCCAAGTCCAAGGTATGAATCTTTTCTAAAAGTCTTGAAATGTCTTCTAGTCAAGAGACTACCGAGTTGGCATCCAAGTCCAAAGTTTCCTATGACGCTTCTGACAACTTTGAAAGACAGATTCCACCAATTTCCCGGATGATTTCATGGGAGGCGATAAAATCTCGAGTTCGATCAGCTAATTGTTTGCAAAAACGTGTAGAGGGTAACAGTAGATACCAAATCTCTTGAAGCCGCATTTTTGAAATCTCCTTTATGAGCGTCAAAGTGCTCAAAAACATTGGATTCATAATCGATTGCTTCCGGACCTTGCTCATAACATTTTGAACACTTTTAAAATAAAGAAAAGAAATAAGATTCTACCATGCGTTGATGAGAAACTTTGGATGAAATGAGCCGAAAGAGACCGAAAATTATTCATTTTCACTCATTGTTTGGCCTGGAACGGTGAGTTTCATGCTGGTGCTTCATACCATGATAAGAATGGTGATAACAAATTTATAGACCAGTTAATATTTATTACTTTATTACACATTAATTCCTGACAAAAATTGAATTCCGAGTTTGGTTTCGGGCTTGTAGTCGTCGTCTTTGTTCTCTTCTTCGTTATCTTCTGCTTCTTTCATATCCTTGAGCTGTTTTTTGCAAAAACATTCATCTGCAAAGCCCTCAAGCAAAAATTTCCAAGCCATGGGCTTTTCTGGCAGTAGTGGCTCATCTAAAATAGGAATTGTTTTTAATAAATCGGAAAATGCTTTCTTCAAAATAAATCAAAAACATACTTGTTTTTTTCTTGATGAACTGATGTTCACTTTCTTTAAACGCAGCTTTATGTTCTCGAGGGTTGGGGTTTTGGGCGGATTGTTTTGGGTTCAGGCGCACTCGAGCTTCCACGGCTAAAGCATCAGCCTGAAATGAACAAACTGAATCAAAGTAAATAAAAAATAAACTCTAGAACCATTCTGTAAATAACATATCATAAAGCATTACCTTGTGATTTCCTGGATGTTTGGGCTTCAACGCGGGTCCGAGTTCCGAATGGGCTTCGACCCATTGAATGACCACTTCTGCGGGGAATTTGCCAAGGATGTGCTTGACAAAATTCAAGCTAAACGCAGAATATAAAGCAATATAAATGCAAGAACAAACTTCTTTTCATTATCCGCTTCCAAAGTTTTTCTATCGTTGCCCACGAGTCCCTTCGGCTCCGTCCTGTAGAGATTTGCAATTGCCGTCAAACAATTCTTACAATCCGTTCTTAGGATAATCGACTGGCCTCTAAATAATCAAAAAATTTTTATCCACAAAATTGATGTATTGATGTAAGTATTATTACATTACAAAATTGATGTAAGTATTATTACACAAATTAAAGTACTTACTGATATCCTCCCCAGCAATAGACTCTGCAAAGAGCCACAACAATCGCAAATAGTTCCACAAGAAAAGAAGACTTCAGCCCATTGCACATCGAAAGCCCCCTAAATTTAAAAGAATCTTTAAATTTTGATTGGCTAATTGAACAGTAATCATCATTCAATTTCACAAGAGAAACTACTATTTAACTATATAGTGTAACTACAGTGATAGTACAAAAACACTTACAATTCCAGGGGGTGGTCATTGCCCAAAAACATTCCGATTCCACCGTATCCACCGTGTACATTGAAGCTACCATCAGTGTAGATAATCACATGCTCCTCCGGAAATGTTTGATTTCCTTCGTCCGCTTCCCCAACGGTATGTCCTGTAAAAGAGCAAAATGAATGATTAAAACATGAAAATAGACCTACCAAAATCTTGTGCCGTATAAGTATTTTTCCAGCCTTCGGCGCGATCTTGCCATTTCTAAAAACAATAAAATAAGCCATTGAGCGAGAGAAATCAAATAGACCGTTGGATGTATCTCAGATATTTTCAGAAAGAAATCTCGAAGAAAACTTAAAAAATAATCAATTCGAAATTCTTTTTATAAAGATTATAAACTTTTGACGGATAGAACCACATGCAATCATAGAATGCTATGAATTTAACTATAAAATAAAAAGTTACCTTCAATTTGACGTTCCTGTTCTCCTGCTTCTTGAGAGCGCGCTCTTGCTTGCTTGGTGACTTGTTACTTTTTGCTTCGTTCCAACCATATGCGTCTCCTCGCGGTTGTTCCAAATCTGAAAAAAGAGAGAATTGATAGAACTTAACTGGTTATAACCAAAATTGGGAAAAACGACAATAATTCATTCCGAAACTTTTATATTTTTGGATCGGTATTCCTGGAATGCATATTCATGATTCAACATAAAATACCGTGAAAGCTGTAATAGTAGCCCCCCTATAGGAGCGTCGCATAGTCTAAGTTTACTCTCAAACAAACGCTTATATCTCGACACCAGTACGTTTGTTTCTGCGCACTTAGATATTAAATGAAAGCAGAGAAGATGGGCGATTCGTTGAGACACATATTTTTAGCATTAAGCAGCCCTTGGAAAAAAATGATAGAAAAGTAGCAAAAAAGGAGTCGATTTTCGATCATTTTTTCTAAGTGCTGCTTAATGCTAAAAATATTTGTTATATCTCAAAGAATCACCCATCCTCTCTGCTTTCATTTAATATCTAAGTGCGCAGAAACAAACGTACTGGTGTCGAGATATAGCTTTTGTTTGGAGTAACTTACGCGACGCTCCTATAGAGGGGGGCTACTATTAGAGCTTTCACGGTACCCAAAACCTATAAAAAGTCGTGAAGAAGAATAATCCAAAGAGAAATCGAAAAAATATGGATTCCAGGAAAAGAAAAGGTAATAAAAACTGGCAAAATTAATGGTTGCCAAGAAAAAGAATAAAACTAAATCAGAGAAAAAGGCAACAAACTTTCGCGGTGGAAGAAGCGGACACGGCGGAAGACCGAGAAGAATTTGGAGATTCGACGAAACATTGGAAGAATAGTTTGAATGATAAAGTTACCCGTGTTCGACTCATTTTATTTCAGCTTTAAATGCAAATTTCAAAACTCTCCAAACAAATTTTTTTCTAAATGCAAATTTTCGCAAGCAAATTTTATATTTTTTTTTATTTTCAAGCAGTATCAACAGTATTGTGAGCCGAGCTTGTAGTGAAGTCAAGACAAGTAAGGCCTTAATTTCTGAAATAAAATGATTCGAACACGGGTAACTTTATCATCCAAACTATTCTTGCAAATGATTCCGCGTCTGATCGCCAAATTCTTCTCGGTCTTCCGCCGTGTCCGCTTCTCCCACCGCAAAAGTTTGTTGCCTTTTTCTCTGCTTTAGTTTTATTCTTTTTCTTGGCAACCATTAATTTTGCCAGTTTTTATTACCTTTTCTTTTCCTGGAATCCATATTTTTTCGATTTCTCTTTGGATTATTCTTCTTCACGACTTTTTATAGGTTTCTGGGTACCGTAAAAGCTCTAATAGTAGCCCCCCTCTATAGGAGCGTCGCGTAGTCTAAGTTTACTCTCAAACAAAAGCTTATATCTCGACACCAGTACGTTTGTTTCTGCGCACTTAGATATTAAATGAAAGCAGAGAGGATGGGCGATTCTTTGAGATATAACAAATATTTTTAGCATTAAGCAGCCCTTAGAAAAAATGATTGAACATCGACTCCACTTTTCTGCCACTTTTCTATTATTTTTCCAAGGGCTGCTTAATGCTAAAAATATGTGTCTCAACGAATCGCCCATCTTCTCTGTTTTAATTTGATGCCTAAGCGCACATACCCCAAACAAACTAGTGATTTTAGTTATGGTGTTATTTATGTGAAGGGGCTCACCACAAGTACTATATCGTCATCATCCGCGTCCTTAGCGCTTGAAGATTTATCTTTGGCCCCACATAATTTGTTTCTTCTCGGATCGGTTCTTGCAATATCGACGTCAAATTGACAGCAACTAAAAATTAAGATAAATGCCGTAAACATTAAAAACCAACTTGACACTCTTCGTTTCAGAACACTTTGTTCTTCCTCGGTAAGATCTATAATCAATTCGTCCTCTATTTGTCGCGATTCCGTTTGATTTTTGGCTAAGGTGCCGCCAGATTCAGTGCGTAACGATGTGCTCTGGATATCATCAGTTGTAACTTAAAAAAACCATAAATTCTATAAGAATTCCAAGGATTACCGTTCTTCGGTTTGGCTATAACAGTATCCAAATTTGACTCCGTCTGAATGGGCGCAGGTTCTTCTCGTGGAGAAGTTGTATCTTCTGGCGTCTTTTCCGTGGTTGTCACATCGTTTGTATTAGGATTTGGCTCTGTTGAAATTACTGGATCGTCCTCTGGAAAGGGCGCCTCGGATGCTTTTTCTACCAGCGTTTCTTCGTTGTTTGCAGCTATAAAAAAAACGTTATGCGCCATGAAGTCTTAATGATTACCAATTCTTGTTTGCTTATTATCTGGATTTGACCGTGTTGCTGGAATGACTTCTTGTGGTTCCAATTCTTCCGGCAAGTTCTCCTGGATCTCGCTTGCTACTAAACACGATAGTGTTTAAGGTCAATGGAATAGAAAATTATACCATTTATCTCTTCGATCATAGATGTATCCATAGGCGTTGTTTGCATGGGTTCTTCGGATCTCGCTGCTGATGTGGAGTTTATCTTTTCCTTTAAATTTCCCATTGTTTCATCCAACAATTCAGAGAGTACAAGCGTTTAAACTTTTTCTTCCACTTGCAAAACTCAAAAAAAGCGCCCGACCATAGTAGTAGGATTAGAGGTTCCATCCGGTGATTGACGAGATCGACGAGGCAATTTTCCATTAACGAGTCCAAACGTCTGATCGAATTGCATGCGAATCGTCAGTAGAACCTTTGAGCTTTCTAAAATGAAAACATGGTTTCCTGGTTTTTCCCACTCATAAATGTATAAATTAATTAGCAGAATAAAGTTTACCTCCTTTTTCAAGCAAAACATTCGTTCCGATTTGATGCCTCGTGGCAAGATGAACTCGAAGTGGAAGCAAAGAGCATCCGTAGAAGCTGCATTGAAAGCGATGATACGCTTGTCTCGTGTTTTGGATTACATGCATATGTACTGTGAAAACCTTAAATCTCCTGATGTAGATCCAATGAACGAAACTAACTTTTACAGAATCACGCGCATCTTCATTGGGTTGGCAAGTTGTCAGATGATTTGCCAAAGCAATTTCTCCGTGCACAAAGCAGTAGCAACCCATCGGGCTCATCGCAAATTTGATAACATTTCAAGAGATGTTCACTAAAATCATATATTAGTTGAATAATGACGTTTTTAACCTTTTATTGATGCCAAATTGCAATGGCCTTTTGCATTTATGACCGTCTTTTTGCTGAGTGTCAGGATGTTTGTTGATATCCGAAAAATGAGCTACAGCTTCTTCTGGAGAAGTGAATGGCTCGGTCCCACATCGCAAACAGGAACTCTAAAAACATATCTCATTGCATGAATTACTATCCAAAAAAAAACTGACATTAAATTGCCTCAAAAACGATAGTACAGTCTTAAACATAACTTCTGGATTCTTGTTTGGCGTGTGTCCAGCGAAGTTGACTACAATTGTAACGATTCGATTCACCAAATGCTCTCCCTAAACAAAATTATGAAAACGGTTGAATCATTTTGAATTGGTGAAACTACATAATCACATGATCTAATGAACTAATCGTGAACTAATCACATACGACAAATTTTTGAAGACTTTCGATTTCACTCGATCGACAACGAAGGTACTTTCCGCAATCGGTACAACACACGAATACTCGAGCTTCCACCATCTCAGGCTAAAAATAAAGAATTTTCAGTGCAGGAAGTTCTAATTTTTTTTCTAACGCGTAGAGTTTAAAACAGACCGGTTGAAGTGACTTTTGTGCGTTTTTCCAGTCTCGAAATTCCTTGCATTCGTGAACATTCAGCAAGTCTGATGTAGTGAAAGCATGTAGACAAAAGTGACATGCAGGAAGGCCTTTTTCTACTACCCTATATGTACAGGATACATCACTGTCAGCGGGAATCCGCAACGTGTAAATGAAAATTGAAAAGAAAGGAGACGCGACAAGCTGTACGTGTTAAACAACAAATGGCGAGCTACAAAAGTCTCTTCCAATTTCTATATCTAGGACGTTTTTGATTTACAAAATGAGCATGAGAGCTACTCAATTGAGTATCTTTTTCGAAACTACGCATTGACTCAAGGCGTGGATTTATTTCATTTTCGGTTGCACTTTCTCAACATTTGTGTTATTTTCTGTTCAACACTAATTCCCTCAGACTTCTCTAAAAGCAAGTTGCTTTCTTGTGCATTGAGCCTGTTGAACGAGCCTGCTAACTTGCTGAAGGAATGCTTTAACGGCAATCTTTACCCCTCGGAAAGTGTTTAAAAAACCTAATGATGTGTTTTCGTTTCTTCTCTATCGACTTTGACCATATTCTATTGTTTTATTTTAGACTTCATGTATTCAACTGTGATTGATCGCGCACTCGACGAGATTGTCGCCGAGAAGAAAGGGTTAGTTTGCGTACTTGTTTGCCGATAATTGTTGTTTTACTTTAGCTCTCGTGGACGCAGCAGCGCAAAGGGTGGTTCGTCTGGTAGTCATCGAGCATCCGGTTTCAGTGGTCGTTGGCAACATGACAGATTTGAAGGAGTGCATGACACGGGTCGTGATCGCAAGGGTGTGTACTTTAGTCTACTACTTGTAGTCGTAGCTCGACTAAGGTCTAACTTCTATTATCGTACCTACGTTTCTTCAGTTTTTTTTATGTTCAGAACTATTTTTTGTATTTAGACTCGAGGCGCAGAAGTGGTGTCAAGCTTCCCACCGCTGTTGTCCGCATTCTTCTCGCCAACTTATCGCCACAATTCAATCAGATTGACTTGGAGGAACTGGTGGAGCCTTACAACGGCAAACATCCACTCGTCCACTACAATGAAAAAGGCGAACAAGTTGGAACGGCACAAGTTTGTATTTTTCTGTTGCAATTGTTTTCAAGCTATTGATTTAGTTTGCCACCTCCTCTGATGACGCACAAAAATTTATGAAAGACCTTCATGGTGCGTCAATTGATGACAAGCGTCTCAAGATCACATTGGTTTGTGTATGTTGTAATAATTTTTCAAATCATTCTTAGGTTGATGATGTTTCTACTATAACTATCGGGACGGTTCGTGAACGCATTAAGTAGGTTTATTTTGGGAATTTTTGAGATGCTCGTTCTAGGTTTGCTCGCGCTAAAGCTTCGCGGAGTGATGGTAGAGTTCACCGAACGATTCGTGGTCGTGTCAAGAAGTCAAGGAGCAGTGACAGTGGTGGACGTCTATCGTGGGATACTTTTTAAGCTAACGTATTGAATTGCTTACTTTTTGTGCTTGTTTTTGTTGTCTGATTGTGCTTATTAAGTGAGATAGCGCGTATGTGAATTACTAACATGTTTCATGTGTAAACTTTCAGTGCAGACCGACCTTCGTGGGACCAACACGATCACAGGGTAGTTTATATTAATTTTTACCATAGCATTTGCTTGTTAAGGATCAAGCTGATGAAACCTCTGAAGTCAAACCAAAGCATAAACCATCGCCCACTTCCTCCAACAAATGGTCGCATAAGAAACTTTCTCAAGAGGTATTATTCTTTGCGATGTTGCACAATCATTTTTTTCTAGGAACTTGACCGTCAGCTGGACGAGTATATGAAACGGACGGTGGACCAGCAAATGGATTAGATGCCGAATTTTTATGAATTCCCAACCCTCGAATCATTATTACACTTATTCTTTATGTTTTCAACCGGTAGTTGTTGTTTATTTTGTTGATAAAATTTGAAAGGTTTAGTTGTTTTGGGGATTACAATTCAAATTTATTCTTTAAATAAATATGTTCATAAGGTATGATGAGATCACGGTTAGTTCCCAAAAGATTGCGGCAATTAAACAAATCGGTTCACAGCATCGTACCAGAAGCAACTCTTCATGTTCTCAAAGCGCTCATAGCACGAGATGTAGGAATAGTCGAGAAGAGTGACGTTGCCGGATCGTTGCTCGCAGAAAGTCAGACACTGGAATATAAGAGGGCTTTCTTCTGTTGTAACAATTCTTCAGTAGTTGCTTATACATTTCTTGGGCTAGTGTTCTGGTAAGTAAAGAGTCTACAAAACGATTCGATAGTCATTCTGGCAAACCTTTCCACCGGCTAGCGTCGTGGTGACACCATTTCGTGCACAACACTGTCGATGATCGCGTCCCTAAAATTTGGGTTTTGTTGAAAGTTTGAGGATTACTGTAGATTACTGTATCAGAAGTAATATCCAATCGGTCTTTGCCCCTGCCTATCATTTCTGCAGCACTTACCCGCGCGGCACAAAATTGAATGTCAGCCGAGGCGGTCAACGGGCATCCGTCTTGCTTGAAGTACATTCTTTTCAACTGTAAAGATCACAGTATTCACATTGAGTTTAAATTTATGTGATTTATTATTTAGATTGTCACTTACCGCCTCTTTTGTGTAAGTGTTGAAGGTACACTTTTGAAGGCACGCATCGGGAAGACCTAAACATTGGAAATTGATCTTTTTTAGACGAATTTCCCACCTCGTTGTTCACAACAGGCCATGAACAAGGTATTTGGATCCTGGAAATAAAAATGATGAAAAGCTCAAAGTGGTACAATATTATTTTTACGGGTATAGGCACAAGTTGGACACTTTTATAAACTTTCAACAAACCACTGGTGGCTGTGGTGGTGGAACGTTTTGCTCGTGGAGTGGCGTGTAGCGAGATTTGCCGAAGCTTGCGGGCACTTGTCTTTGCGAGACCGTCTAGAAAATAGTGATTATCGTTTTAATCTTACTCTTTAATACGTTCAACTAAAGCATTTGCTCTGTTTCTCATGAAAACCCACCTCAACAGCTCCCTCAGCCGTGAATGTGGCCGCCGAGAGGGCGCGGGCCGTTCGTCTAGAAAAAAGGGTTTTTAATATATTGAATATTTGGTTATCCAGAAAGTCTTTTCGTTCCTTTTCGTACTTCCGTTGAAAAATAACAAATTCCCCAATTTGCTGGTTTGCTCTAAATAAAAAGTTGTTTATTGTTCAATTTCCCATCCTTTTAAGTCAATTTGCGTTCACTTTCAAGCAAATTCGTGAGCTCGGAAAAATCTATAAAAACCCCGGAAGAAATTGGCTGAATGAATTTTTTTGTAAATTTGGCTATATACCAAACTTTTTATGCTCTATCTTTTATCTATTGAAACGAAAATAGGTTTCCTTAGCTAAAGTGTCTAAACCGCATCATCGAGCCGTCGCCCTTTTTGACTACCCGACATCAGACTCACAGAAAAATCCACAAATAAGCCATTTTAAAACCCGTTTTACTTTTATTTTGCAGAAAAATAATTGACCTTTCTAATGAAAGAAACCGTAGTTCAATTGGTGCATCTGTTGGTTTTAAACGGAAGAAAGAAAAGGAACGAAAAGACTTTCTGAACAGCCTAATACATAAACCCTGGTCCAGCTTAGTCTGTGGCTCTGACTTGGCCCAATAAACATTCGTCTAAGACATTCTGATTGAATCAGTTTAAACGTTTGCTTTTAATATGAAATGCTTGTCAATTTGTTAAGTTGAAATCGTCGCAAAGAGCATAGCACAGCATCTTGAACCGTTTTCACTTCACACCGATTTCAGAGTTAGCAAAATAATCGTATTTGAATGCAGTTACAACAATGATCGAATTTATTTGTCTCTACTTTTTGGCAACGCCAGTGAAAAGTGGGCCTAATTCTAAAAAATTTTTTAATATATTTTTACGAGTTTTTTTACTTTAGAGATTGTACAGGCATTTCCTTCGGTAAAACGGCGTCCATCTTGTTGATTGTTTCTCATGTCGGTCCGCAGCTGTATCTTTCTTTCGATTGAATCGAGTACACACAGCACACGTGTACGCCTTGAGTTCTTGGCAAACCGCCTTTGTCGCAATGATCTGTTGTTGCCACCGAATGTTCGTGGTTAGCTAAAGATTTTAAAGTTATACCCAACCCGTCAACAAATAACCTCATCGTGGTTCTGCCGTTAAATGTTTTCATATGGTTCAGCTTCAACGACAAAGCGGAGTTTTCGTGGAAGGAAAGACCAATCTTCAGCATTGTGATGATCTCATCGTTTTTTCCAAGGATCGCTTTCTAAAGTTATGTTAATATTGTTGCTTTTCCACTTATAATATACTACCTTTATCCAACGTTTTGTAGAGACCGGGAAGAGTAGTTTTGTAGAGACCGGGACGGAAGAGTGAAATATCGCGCATACAGTGATCGAAAGCCAGCGTAGCACTTATGGTTGCGGGGTGTTCCTAAAGCTGAAGCCTTAAGCCTAAGCCATTTAAGACGGGCTGCTGCGGTCAATAATACTGAGAGCTTTAGGCTAAAGCTTTTGGTTGGGTAATAAACCAATAAAAGAGTTATTTGGGTTCGGTCTTTCCGCGTTTCAAGATCTGAACCAACTGAACGGAAATCAATAGAGTTGAAATGCCCCAACTCCAGCAACCGCCTTGATCCAATAAAAGTACAGAAATCATTTGTCAGAGCTGAAATTTCCCAACTATTTCTGCCGTTTGAATCCAATAAAAGCACTGAAATCAAATTGCAAGGATCCCCTATTCAGCCCAAACCCAAATAGCTGCTGCTTTGGGGAGGAAGGCCTGACTACTTGAATTCCGTTAAAATAAATTGACAATTACTAATGCTTAGTAACCATTCTGATAGTAAGCGAAAGTAATTTGTGTTGCGTGTGTTATTTGGTGAATGTTATTAGGTGTTTTAGAAATTTCCGAGCCATATTCCTCAAAGCGACTAGTTGTTAAGTGAGAAAACCGATTGTCTTTTCACTTTGAAATGCAGCTTTTGAGTCATGTTTTAGATGTTTATAAACAAAGAATTGTATAATTTTAAAAGTTGAAGTCAGATGGTTCAGATGAGAATGGGTGCTTGTGTATGGATGAGTAGCTCAGTGTCGAGTTAAAGTGGTTGTCAAGCGTTGTTGTTGTTGTCGTTGTTGTTTCTATTGATTTCAACTACGATATTTCCAATTCTTTCGACTTACAAATCTCAAAAAATGCATTCCCGTGCCAGTGAACGGGAAAGATAAAGGTTTTTTTTGACAGTGGCTTCTGGGTTTTTTTTGTTCAGGAATCTTTCTTTCCAAAAAGAAATGAAGAACAAAGAACTGATATGGATACCCAAAGAACAGATGCACCAACAAACCTAACCTTTATTATCCTAGCTTGCCATAAATTGACTTAAATCAGTTTTTTGCCCAATAAGTTTTTACTTACAAACTTCAGTAAAATCTCTTTAGAAAAGGAAAAGTCTTGCTTGGAGTATTGTGAAGCTTTGTTCCTTGGTAGCACATATCTTTTTAGTTTTTTATTATAATTTTTAGTGCCTTTTTTGTCGTGCCAGAAAAATGCAAAAGATAAGCTGTTTTTGAGCTGTGGTTCGAAATTTACAACCACTTTTTCTGGGCATTTTTTAGGCCACTAGATAATTGTGCCATGCAAACAGTAAAAGCCAACATCCTGACTGCAAGATAAGCTGTGTTCATTCTTTTGAGCTCAGCAAACAGAATGATTTCCTCATTTCTTGGCAAAAAGAAAGATTCTACGGTGCAATCGGGCGAATTGCATCAAACTACGGCAAAGTCGATGTCGATGAATACATCGGTGACACATACGACTAGTGACTCGTCGATGTCTTCGTTTAACGTGGTGTGTGTTGCGGTTTGGTTTTATGTGATTTCTTAACAACATGCTTCTCAGTTAAAGATGGATGTAGTGAAGAGTATTTGGAAAAAAAAATAGACCGTGTGCCGCATGCAATCTTCATCAAAATCACCTCAATCTTTTGATTAAAACTGATATAAAAATCACTTCAATCTTTATTTGAGTCATATTTTAATAGTTCTTTGTTTTAATTTAGCGAAAGAAGGCTTCTGAAGAGGCTACAAACAAACAGATTGTGCTTGCGTCAGGGTTGCACAGTTCAACTCCGGTATAAGCTGACATCCTAATGAATTGGACCCAAATTCATATGTCAATCTTTTCAAAAAATTAAGCCAAGGATCTTTTTTAATTAAAATATCACTCAAGTAAAAGTTTGAAGTAATTTTCGTATCAGCTTTCATATTAAAAAGCTTTGTGTTGGGTAGAAGCTCTTGGGATGACCGAAATTGCAGTGAGCCTACAGTGCAGCCCCTTAGCAGCCATGTAGAGGGGCTGCAATGGAAGCTATTAGAAAATTGAAGCGCTCATCACGATAAGTTGTTGCAGATAAATGGGAGGGAGGTGAATGCTAGCAAGATCCAAATTGTCACCCCAGAGGACGAGTCAATGTTCAATGGAGCGACCAAATACAACACGGTCTCGAGCAATGGTGGACAAAAAGTGCAATATAGATGGATGTCCAATGGTTCGGCGAATTTGAATGGCCCCGAGACTCCAACAGCGCCACAGAAAACCCAATTGGGCAAGATTCTTGCTGGAGGAGGTGAGCGCTGCTGCAGCACTTTAATCAAACGATTGCCAGTTAGTTGCAGTACACGAAATTTCTGTAAAAGCTCTTTAGGCTGAATTTCGCTAAATTTGAAATCAGTTTTTAAATGGTAATTTAAAATGGTAATTTAATTCTAGGGGCTCGTGTTCTCAAACTGGTGACCGAGGTGGGAAGGGGACCATTGATGAATACCCAACGAGGCGAGGAAATCACTAAGGATTTCCTCGATTCAGCTACTAAAGAGAAAGAAGAGCTACAGGTTTGAAAATAAAAAGTTAAAGACATTGTTGGCTACAAAAGTCACTTAAAATTAATGCTTTTTCTAAGCTTTGAAAAATTCGAAAAGTTTACGAAAATAATCAAGCACAAGAAGCTACAGGCTACTAGAACTACTTCTAGCTACCTAGAAGAGCTAAGCACACAAGCTCTTGAAGTGATTTAAAGTTGAAATTTCAGGATTTGAACAGCCGTCTTGAACACTACATCTTACAAGTGCAAACATTGGAAATCGAAAATCGAGCACTCGTTGAAGAACTGGAAAAGTCACGAAGCACTTGGGGAGCGGACACATCGAGGGTGAAAGTGCGTTGTTTACTTTTTATTAAACCTGATGCTCAAAAAGAAGAAATAATTTAAACAGGGTGTTTAGAATGAGTTTCATGCAGAGCTTATCGAAAAACAAAGAAAGTATAAAGATTTGTGCATCATGAACGCCAAGCTCGAGGCTCAAATCATCGAAAGGAAGACGGAAAGGGAGCAGACTCGTTCAGCGTAAGCTCAAGAGAATTTCGTTTTTATGTAAAATCAATTTTTGGTATGGTTTTATGGTAATCTATAAAAAAACCACTAAACCTTGCCAGCTGTCATTATAAATTTAGTTATCGTGAAATCTCGGTAAAGAATAAAAGCAAGACGCTAGAATATGAACAAGTGAAATATTCTGTCGATGAAGCTGAACAGGATCTGGTCAATCTTAAAGAGAGGTCATTTTTTAGATCAAATCTTATACAGTATCTCTAATAGATTTTCGATATTTTCATTTCCGATCTGAGCACGCTTTTTCCCTACAAAAAAAGAGCTTTTTTAATCGTAGATCTGTATTAGAATGGCAATCCTTTGGCAAGTAGTCGGCATTTTTTACTGTAGATAACGTTGCACATTTTTTTTTGTTATTTTTCAAAAGAAATAGTCCAGAGCTAGACGAAAACAATAATTCTGAAAGTTCAAACTCAAATTTTTATAGGTTATTGTTAAGAAATAGTTCAGAGAGAAGCAATTGAATGAGGAAAAAGCTTGGCTAATCGAGGATATTAAGCTACAACGTGTCAAGCTTGAGAAAGAGCGAGAGGTCAAGTTTTTCCTTTCTTTTTGTTTTTATTGAACTAACTTTTGCTGTATTTGTAGCTACTCATTAGCAGATTCAAATAAAAGGAAATTTTCAAATTTTACATCGAGCTTTCAACATCTTTTCGAAGATTATAGAATGCGAGCCAAGAGCGAATGAATCGAGTCGAGGCTCAATTCGAAGTGCAAAGGCTCGTCGCTGAGCTTGAGTCATTGAGCAAGTGAGCTAATAAGGCTTTCACTCACATTCACAGTTTTCCAATGTTATCTAAATTTCAGAATTCACGAACAAGAGGTCTACGAACTGCAGCTTCTTCTTTCGAAAGCGCCCGTCAAAACCCGAGAGATCTTCCGTGATAAGCTCGCCTTAGCGATTAGGTCCAAAAGTTTTACGTTGAAAAATGAAAAATACCATCGAAGAGTAAACAATAGAAGATTTTAGAGACATCAAGAAAGACTATGAATACCTAGCCATGCAAGAGAAGAGAGAAATGGAGAGCTGGTACAAGCTACGGGTTTGTACAGAGTTCAGCATCAAATACCCATTAACAGTAGTTGATCAGTAAAAAAAGAACTTCTAAATAGATAGAAAATATTTAGGATAGAAAGAAAAACAAGTTTTCAATGAATTCTCTCAAGCTTTAGGTATCTCAAGTTCAATCACTTTCGGGCCATGTAGCTTACGATGGCAGTGTTCATCACGAGGAGGTGAGTTTAAGGCTGATTGAAAAGAATAGACCGAAGAATAGAACGTCTATAAAAATGTGTTTATCGAATAAACTAAAAAGCCAAAAGTGAATTAAGAAGAAAAACCTTTAGCCTTTTTTTTCAGATCTCCAAAATTCGCCATAGCGTTGTCGAGTTTCGGGCTAGATACGAGATCTTGGAGGAAAAGAATCGAACCCTCGAGCGCACATATCAAACACTCATCTCTAAGGTATTTTCTATGGCTTGGTAGTATTAAATTTTATCTGCAATACAACTTAAAAATAATATTGTAGCTCAACAAAGATCGTGAGTCGCACGAGACAGCCATTTCAAATGGTGATGCGGAATTACGCCAATTGCATACTGAAATACAGAAGCTTTATCTTGAGCTCGAGGTTTGTTAGAGAATCTTTGTAGAAGCATTTTCAGAATTTTTTAGAATTTAGAGTGTAGAAGCATTTCAAAACATAAACTAGCGCAAAACGCGAATTTTAGGAGATCCGCAATACTAAACTGATTCTTGACGCCGAGATCGCAATCTATCGAAAAATGGTTGAGGCCGAAGAGTTCCGGTAATTGTTTTGTTTTATGGATGAATAGATGAAGAGATTTGTAGTAAAACCCGAATTCCCGCAGTTCGAGTACAGGTTAGCAACTTTCCAACCCTAATTTCTAAAGTACATCTAAGCTACCGTCCTCGAGGCGGCGTCTTCCTTTCCCCCTTTTCCCCCATTCCTTTAAAATTGATTCTATTAAAAAATCCTTATCGGATCCGGCGCTTGAGCGTGTCTTTTGCGCGTGTATGCTCCCCTTTCTCTATCTCGTTATAAAATTCTGTTTATTGTTAAAATTTCCCTCCTCCTCTTATTGTTCTCACCCCTCGTTACCTGTCTCTTCTAAAAATTGTTCAATTTTTAGAGTTTTTGTATTTCTCTCGGTTCTTTCCACTTTCTTGATCTTAGGACCCGTGTCTTTCATATCATCGATAGAGTTAGTAAAAATCTAAATATTTTTATCTATAAACGCCAGTCAATCCAAGCCAACCGCGAATCGTCTTATTATTCCTCTCGTTTTGGCAAATCATTTAGAATTTGTTTTTCTGGGTTAAAAGATTTAGCAGTTTGGCTAAGATTTCGGTCCAGAATTTGGATGTTTGAAACCGTAATACGTTAGTTACTTTGCTGTATGTCTCTATTTCAGTTTCCGTCGGGTCGGCGCGGTCACGCCAAGGCCAAAAATAATCGAGGAGGAGCGAGAAAGCCAACAAATCGAGGAACATACGACAATTGTCCGTTTAGAATGGTTTGTTTAAATTTGTATGATTGGGAGCTCTTTTCTAGGCTATTTTCTTTCTTTGCTCAAAAAGGCAATGGCTCAATTTTAGCAATAGCGTCGACAACATCGTCTTCGACAAAGTCGACTGGGAGAATGGATGCTACATCGTACTCCACAATAAGAGTGAACGTGATGTTGGAAAGTGGCTGAATGCTTGAAGTTACTCTTTTATAGGATGGCGACATCAGCGGATATACTATTACACGTCATTTACCAAAAAATGAGATAGTCTCATTCAAAATCCCGGCGAACACAATTCTTCGAGCTGGGGCAAGGCTGACGGTATGATTAAATTAGCCAAGGGACGTGCACAATGAACGGTGAAAGTTCTGTCCTTTTAAAATTCTCTTTAATCGAATTCTCTCTGATCGTTATTATTTCATAAATGTTTATAGCCAAAAGAAAGCCAATTTTCCACAAAATTTCAATCTTATTACCTTTTTTAAATAGCTCTTTTAAATTTGTTATCACAATTTGCGTGGGCTCTGTGGTCGCACCAGTTATAAGTATAAGAAATAAGACCAGTATAAGAAAATCTGTCAAACTTAGAACTCAGACGATTAGGAGTATTCAAAAAAATTGTTTATCAGCTCCAAACCGGAAATACAACAACAGTTTGCAATAAAAAAGCGCAAAAATATGTTCGACCACAGATACTTTTTTCGAAGAGCATAGAATAGCGATAACTCAAAATCTAAAATAGTTATTTAAAAACTGTAATAAGATTTAGATTTTGTAAAAGATTGGCTATCTTTTGGCTATAAACACTTCTGAAATAAAATCAACCAGGAAGCTTTTAGAGAGAATTCTAAAAAGGACAGAACTTTCGCCGCACCCTGTATGTTTTGATACAATTGCTCTTTTACATGAATTTAATTTACAATTCTGGAGTATAATTATAATTATTATTTATGATTAGAGAATCCCATTCCTGAATTTTATGTAAAATATAAGATTTTAGAAAAAAATTATCGAAAATGGGTAATAAAGCCAAAAATTAACATTTTTAGATCTACGCCAAAAATAAGGGCGCTCACTCGCCGCCGACCTCGATCGTCAATGAAAACGCGCCCACTTGGGGAGTCGGATTTCATGGTTTGTTTAAATGTTTGACTTTTAAGGCTTGTCTTTTACAGTTGAAACCTTTTTGCGCGACAAGAACAACGTTCAAAAGTCGGCCTACGTAAAGAACACGGCCGAGTCGCACACCAAATCACCGACGACATACAGAGAAGCCTTCAAAACATCATCACCTTAGCGTCGGAACTTCACAACATTTTAGCTGAATAAATTTTTATTTTTTTACTTGCAAATAATTTTTTAGAAGCGGTTATTTGCATTCGTTCAATGCTAGTCAAAAGGTTTATACAGTGGGACCATTTTTGTAACAGCGACGACAAGTTGCTGAGTTGGCTGTCGTTTTAAAGCTAAACTTTAATTTTTTTCTAAATAATGCTTATCAGTTTTTTACTTAATGCAGTGCTCGAATGTAGACTTAAAACACCACGGCCGCTGTCGGACAATCAAGACTTTTTTTCTTCCCCAATCCGAATTACTTGAACTCGAATAGTAACAGAGGTCTATTGAGATTAGTAAAAGTTTTGTTTGGTACAGATTAAATTAAATGAAAGCAACCGGTTAATTCAGTTATTAATTAATATTTTTAATATTTTTTTGGCTTTTTTTACGACTTGCAAGCAGAGCATTCCGCCCACTTCCAACCCAAGGGAAGTAATGAGAAGTCCGGTGACACCAAGCTGAAACATTTTTATACAGAAAAGTGTTCGCTATAAAGTTTAGAGTGTATTCCTCTTGGTCAATGCACTTTTTGAAAGGCACTTATTTCGAAAACTACCGTAGTCAGCCGCCCTTTTTTGATAGCTTGAAGAAAATTCGGTGGAATTCTTTTCACTCATGAATATTCCATAGAAAAGTTGTTTGATATGGAAACAAAATTTGATATGAATTTCCAGCTACCAAGCAAAATGAATGATAATTATGGGAGCACAAAAGCTTATTGAGGAGTTGGCCAATTATATACTTTGGATTTATTTTTAACCAGTAAATAATAAACGAGTAAGGCACGTGAAGAGACCAGAGAGGATATTTGAAGGACAAGAAAGTGTAAAGATGGCAAGTTGTAACCAGTGAGGAAAATGATCGAATCCCGTGAAGTAAACAAATAAATGAATCGAATTTCTTGATAGTTTAAGGATTGATGAATGAGACGAGGATATATCGAGTGCCGGATGTGGTGGGAAGACCCTCGTGCATATGGGTGAGACGACCGGGGAACATCATTGTGTAGCCTGGGAATGCATAGCTTTACTCATAAAGAATTTCATTTAATTAGCATCAATATCTAACGCTCTTGCTCTTTTGTACATGCATATCTTCCACTTTTGTACTTTTGGATTGATTTTGAGTAGAAGAGCGTTATGTAAGCCTTATTAAATCTACGGATGTCTATGCTTTAGCTCTGCAACAGAATATTTTATCGTACTGGCATCAGTGCTTCTTGCACTTTTAAAGAATTCTTGGAATTCTTGGTATTCTTGCACTGATTGTTTCCCAAGACACAAACTTATTCACAAATTTATACTTATCCTTATCCTTATTCTTTCAATCGCCATTTCTCACTCACCAATTTCATCGGCGGGCACCGTGCAATTGTAGCGAACGTACCGTACCCCGCCGCCCTCGTAGTCGCGGTCTGAATTTTATTATTTTAGTAATTGGTAAACGGCATCAAGTAGAATTCTCAATGCTAACCCTTTTTGTTCAACGCGATATCAATGCTGTAAGTGGAGGCGTCGTGATGAGGACGAAGCGAGGCCTGCTCGTCTGGCCGATATCGAACAACGAACATCATATTTGAGTAGACCGGCTGAAATTTCGGAATTCGAATATACAGTGCCCGACAAAATTATCGGACCAAGATTTTTGTGGAGGAAAAATGACCAGTGCATTCTTGAAATTAGGCAAAAGTTCAAAGTCCAAAACAAAGTTAAGTTAGTATATTTTTTCTTTCATAAATCGAAAGTAGTATCACTGAAAGTAAAGCAAAGAGCATTTGACGGATTTAACAGAAGCTACTGAAACCAAGTTTTTCAAGCGTAAAAAAAACTTTTCCTACTCAAAATCTCCGACATTTTTCTCAACTTTTTGTTTTGTCTTTAAGTCTGTAATTCTTCAAGGAGGAGAAATTAAAGTTTTGTAAATTGTAGAAATAATATTTAAAGGTTTTTACACCTGAAAACTTGCTTTCAGTAGCATATCTTCTGTTAAACGACTTTTACATTTCAGTCTTTATGAATTCCCAATGTAAATGTCCTAAAATTTTTACCCTGTACTGTATTTTAGATCTGCAAAAGGGTTTACGATAGAAACTCACATTTTGGAAATATCCGATAAAGACTTTCTCCTGCATCGGTCGCACGTACTCGTTCATGAAGTAAAGCCTAGAGTTTTGATAAGGAATTGGATTCGAGAGGCTTAGAACTTATAGGCAAATCTTGTCAACTAATGGGCTTCTTGTACATAGTACTAACTGTATTTTAAGGCTAACTCCGATAGCATTTTTTTGAGGCTACCGTAATCCTGCCTAAGCCAACCCAAAGTTTCTAGGCCAGATCAGGAACGTGATCTAGTCCTAATCTAGTCCGGAACAAGCAAGACCAAAACCAGAGTTGATCTCAAAGACGCTTATAATCACCAAGATCACCAGGATTGTAAGCCTCTTTGAGATCAACTCTGGTTTTGGTCTCTCATCTGTTTTATACCAGATAAAATCAATATACCAATGGTGATCCTTAGCCAATGGTGATATTCTTAATCCTTAGCCATTTTTCCCCGCTCACCAGTGTCTCTCATATCCAATCTGATTCATGTGAATGTCCCGTGTTGGCACGTTCTCGTAGCCACCGGTGAGGCGATTGTCCTGAAATCGGCTGTAATCGTAAACTTGCTATGTCAAGTACCATAGTTGTACTCTATTAGAGAATAGCTTTAGGGTTCTAACTGGTAGATGGATATTTAAAACCCAAGTGCTTAAAGCTCAAACTGTAAACGAGTGGTAAATGTCTGGGCTTTAAGGATTCATGGGTGACCCAGTTTTACCAGTGAACCAATTCATACAGGTTCTCACCGATTCCCATCAATTCTCAAAATAGACTTCTATGTAATAGATTGGTCTAAGGACGTACTGGTTTAAGTTAAACGAATTCTGTATCATTGACAGCGTAACACTTACACTGTGGCTTCCGTCACTCCATTGCCCGAATGTCTCCATCTCATCGATCATATCAGCGCAATATCTGAAAAGAAAAAGTTTAGCCTCAATGGCCGACTGGCTAAGAGCTTTGTATCTTAGTCAGGAGGCCAAGAGTTCAATCCCGTCGGCTAGCTTATTGATTCTTTTTCCATCTATAAGTTTTTCTACATTTAGGACTTAGGCGTTGTGTTTATGTATTTTTGTCTCAAATGAATGAATGAATATTTTTTAAACCTTTCACTCATCAACGCGTAATCGTAGACATCTGGGCAAGCTTGGGGAACCTGAATGTTGATCATTTCTGAAAGTTCATCTGCACTCACTAAATCAGCCGCCAAAGTCTCCTTGTATTTTGGATGTAAGTAACGCTCTTCCCAGAGCTGAAACACTTTAAACTTTTAATAAAAAAAATGGTTACCATTTTGTTCTCGAAGATCTCCCACATTTCCGGGTGTTTATAGCCGGCTTTGATGTGCTCGGGGAACTCGTCGGCGACAATTAAAAAACCGAATGCGACTTCGTTTGTCACGTGCATGAAATGTCCCTAAAGAGTACTGTAATTCTAAACTCTTTTCGAAAATCTCTTTTGACTTGCAACTACCGTACCGTACTCTGGTGCTAGCTTTTTTTGCTTCAATTTAAATCTATTTAAGACATTTATATCGATAAACCTACACGATCCCTTGCATAGGCACAAAAAGACATATCCGGATCAACGATTTTCTGATAATCGAATGGGGTTTCCATTTGAGAGAGCTTTTCCTGGAAATTTGCATTTAACACTTGTTTTCAGCTTTATCTTTTGCTGTGAAAATGTGAAAATACGGCACCTTTTTGAGCAGCAGCGCTCCACTCACATAAGGCATCTGCCAAAAGCCGACGCGATTCCCTAGAATTGGATTTTGTTGAGAAGATTCTGGATTCAAATCAAACCCTTTACAATGGCCATGTAGTCTTCACTTCTTGCGTAGTAACTGAAATGCTTGAAAAGTTTTGTGACTTTTGTTTCCTTTTACCCATTAGAAGCGATAGCACCCCAGAAATTGGAGAAGACTTTCTCGGGTTGAAGAACCATTGGAGCCACGATTCCGCTAAAATGAGATAAGTAAAAGGATAGTAGAAAGTTGAAGATCCTTGTCGAAAACAAGGATTATTGTATCTCTAAAATCAATAAAGAACTCACACATCGTAGTTCACCGCATCCTCGATGAGATGTTGAAGGGTTTTCGGATTCGTTAACATCACGTCGGAGTCAACGGAAAAGAAAAAGTCGGAGCCGGTCAACTTGTGGAATTCACTGGAATCCGATTAATGGTAGGAAATGTTTAACTCAAATAGTTTAAAGTTCAATATTTTCATTTCAACAATTCAAGTATGAAAGTTTGAACTCTTGAACCCACATCGCCATCTGCCTTGCTTCTCTCTCCGTTCGATCCACTCCATTGATGATCTTCTTTGTGTAGAAACCGCCTGCGTTTTTATTAACGAAATCAAAAATCTGAAAAAATTTGAATGTAGTAATAATTTTTGAATTTAAAATTACCGTTTGAATGCTGAATCGCTGATTGTTATAGATGAAGAGAGCTAGGCGATCTTTTGGATAATCTAGCTTGAGAATAGCTTCGAGGAACTGGAATAAGGGAAATTTTTAAGTTTATGCTGTAACTGCTTAAAGTATGCTTAAAAGTAATACTGTAATTTAGAAAGAAATCAATTTAAAGGGTCACCTCTTCCAGGAAAGGAATCGGTCTTGGGACGAAAATGGCAAGTGTGACGAGGGGGAATGCGGATGGATCGGCTTTCTGAATAGTGGAGAGGTTGAGGTTTAAAGTTTCGATAATTTGGAGATAGATAATTGTTTTGTTTTTTTTTGTTGTACAAAGCTTTAACTCACCTGCAAATCGAGATGTGAGCGATCCGAGCAGAAACCACAGCCAGTCATCGAGTTCCATCTGAAATACGAAGCTTTAAGGCTTATACATTTAGTAATTACCGTATTTAGTAGCATTTAGTAAATACCATATTTTCCCTAATAGAAGTGCACCCCTCCGAGCCGAGTTGATGACTATTTTACGGCTTCCAAAGTTTTCACAGAGACTCAACACTCTAATCCCCACTAGATCTCATCGTCAGCTACATTTTCCGACCCCACATCGATTGGTTCTGATAAGCGGTTCTCGAGATTTCGAGCAATTTAAGCGACGCTCAGAATGCACTACTATTAGAGAAAATACGGTAGTAGTACATAGTAGCTTTTAGTAGTAGACATAATATCATAAAGTCTACTGTAGTGTTAAAGCTAATGAAATTTTACATTATCTCAAAAGGTTACAGTATAAAGTCGCAGTTAGTTCTGTAAGGTTTTGTAAAGTAAAGTCGGGTACTGTAACGTATGGAAAATGAGACTTTATAGTACCATTAAAATCTCTTATTAAACTTTTCTCAAAAAGTAACAACGTGAACTTTCACCCCCACCGATGCGCCACGTAATTCCCGAGGTAATCCAAATGCCTCTTCGAGGGTCCATTCCCGTGAATGATCACCGGATGAGTGTTGTAATTTGCGTTATAAGCCTAAACTTCACTTATAACTTTTAAAACTCAACACCAACCAGTCCCTGTCCATTCTCTTCGTCGAACTGCAACTCGACATCGTCGGACACTCCATTGAGATTTTGAAAGATTCGTGAGATTGAGTCCAATCCGATTTTCAAATCTTTCTAAATTAACCGTTTCTTATTTGCAAAATTTTTGCCTACCCTCAACTTTTCATCAAGATACACCAGTGTGAAATAGAGTTGATCATCGTCTGAATCTTTCACTTCTTTTAGCGTCAACATTTTGTAGATATCCGCAGCGTAACCGAGGTAAAGGCCAGAGTTAAGAAATCTGAAGATAGGGAAAGATGTGTTTTGATTTTTGATTAAAATTGAGAATAAATAGTATAGAATTTATTTGAAGAACTTGATTTCAGTTACCTCTTTCCAAAGCTGACAAGTGGATATTCGACGGCGAGCTCGGGATTCGGCCAACAGTATGGTTCGGCACCGAAGAGGATTCGGTGATCTAAATCAAAAGTTGAATCTTGATGTTGATGTATCAAGATAAAGATGTCTCAAACTAATCTTCATTTACCGGAGAAATGCTGAAAGTAGTGTTGAATGACGGTGTCCATCGAGGCGGTGAAGAGGACATCGTAGCTGAAATTATAGAAAATTCAAAATTAAGTTTGAAATTTTCTTTAGCTTCATGACTGGCTTTAAAACCCACGCATCGACAAACATAATCATCTTGTTTTTCTCATCTTTCCACTTGGCGAGCTCTCGCTTCAGAATGTTAATCTTTTGACCACCGCCCTGAATTTGCATTGATAACTAGATTACATAGAATAAATAACAATTAGAGACAGGATTACGGTAGTTCCAGAAGCTTTCACCATTCCTGTTCACCTGTTCAACTCGGGTATCTCCTCCTTTCCACTCTTCGCCCAATCCGAAGACATGGACCTTGATGTCGAAACTTTCAGCTGATCTAAATTTTATAAATTGATTTTGGAAAACTTCAGGCTTTAACTGTAGATTAAATTCAAATTTCAGTACTTAACGATTGCAATCAAAAGCTTCGAAGAACCAATGTATCAAAGAAATCCGTAGTACCCAAATCCGAGCTTTTCAGAATGTTACGAATACTGTGCCTCCAGTTCAGTTTAACTCACCGTATCAATCTTTTCAAACCATCAGTCTCCTCTGTGGCTACAGTAACCACGATCACTTCCGGTGGCTCATCAACGGCCAGGCACCCGATAATAGAAAAGGTTATCGGCAAAATTAACCCTATCAACCGCATCTGAAAGTCGAACTTATGGATGGATCTGAAGGCCAATAAAAAATTTTTGAAAGGCAACTTAGAAAGCGTTCAAAAAAATAAAGCACACTCGTCAATTTTTACACCAATCGACTAGATACAGAGAGAAAGCCAAGAGATCAGGTCAATAAAGTGGGGATGGAAAAGATTATTGGGAAGAAGAATGGGGAAAGAAAAGTTGTCTGGAAGAAAAAAAGGGGGATAGCACAAATGGTGACCAGTGGTGAATCCGAGTGAGAGGGAAGGAAAGAATGGAAGGACCACAGCTGGCCTCGTCTCCCTCCCCTCCCCCTTTGCTCACTCTTTGGCACCTCTGACCCTTTTTCTTGTTTCCCCTTTCTATGCCGAACATTTGGTCAAAGGCTGTGCTCGTTCTCTGAATTCTCGAAGTTTCGAGAGTGCCCAGTGGTGCGTGAGTGTTTGGAAACAATGCGAGATGGAAATCTTGAACTATCGGATTTGGCTCAAATAAAGCTCAAACGCAAATTCGTGAGCAAGTGAACTTGTGGAACCATGACGAATTGCGCCGACGAATTTTGCACCAAAAGACCAGAAGCGAAAATTGCGCCGAACAAACTAGCGCTAACTGAGTACTAGAAACAACAACAAAAAAATGTAGACAAACAAACAACAACAACACAAACATTGTGATTGAACTTAAATTCGATTCTGCGTCATCAAAAAACAAGGTAAAGCCTCATTAAAATAACTCAAATCCTTCGACGCAAATTTCGCAGTGCAAAATCCGTCAGGGCAATCGTCATGGTCCCAAACTTGTCACTGATAAGTTAACCTAAAGCTGTCAAAGTTTGGAACGTGAGAGTAGATATTCAAGGTTGGCTCACCCATTACTCAAACACAGATTTAGCCAAGCACACAGTGATAGGTGAGAACAAGTCTCCGAGATTCATTTACAAAGCTGCTACGAGCTTTGAGATTATTTAGTTCTATTTTTTATAAAAAGCTTCAGCTAAAAGTTTGTAAAAGAGCTGCTGAACCAAGAAATGAAAATGTTCGCCAATTCGATCAACGGATTAACAGATTTAGCATCAAAAACTTGAAGTGACGGTACCATGCTATAGGTTGTTAGAGGAAAAAGCTCTTTTCTAGGGTATTAGAGCTTTACTTACGGTAATTTTCTAGAATGAGTGCTTTTCAAAAAGTGTGCATTAATTAAGAGGAACTTTATGCAACTTTTGCAACTTCAACTTTCCAAGAAGTTCACTCTGCGTATACGAGTCTCGCATTTCCCACACATCTGTGTGGCCATTGAATGAGTGAGATCTTGCAAACACTGACGATTTTATTAGATAGCTGACTTTTGAAGTTCAAATCCTACATTTTAAGGTGCCATTACATGCTAGTGTTGTTAAAACCAAACAACGACAAGTGTGTAAAGTTCGGCGAAAACGTTAAAATAAAGAAATCGACTATCTTATCAGCAAAAACGCTCCATTCTCATCAAATAAGAAATATCGCGTTAATAAATTGAAAATTTTGCACCCCGTAATGTTACAATTATATAAAGGTGGAAAGCAACCAAAAGTCATTTTCTCTTCTTCCTGCTTGGAGGGCGGCGGTTTTTTCTACTTTTGAGAGCCCACTAACCCCATTTATTTTGTTTGCCATATTTTGTTTTGCTTTGTTTTCAATTTGATTTCAACTTGTAAAATCTCTTTTCTTTCAGTTCTGCAACCAAGAACAAATGGGATTTGGCGATATATCGACTGGCTTTGGAGCACCAAAGGAAGGTGTGTTTGACTTTTGGCTAAGGATAGCATGCTTACTCATTAAACAAATGTGGCAACTATGTAGTTAAATAGATAGAATTGCAGTAATTGGTGTGGAAATAGCCTGTTAAGTCTTAGATCGTGTAACTTTCTTTTACCTTACATTTTTATGTTTAGGTGGCGAGTCGTCCGGCTTCGGCAGTGCCTCTGGATTCGGCGGCGGCGCAAGTGAAGGAAAGACTGGCTTTGGAGCAGCGAAGAGCTTTGGAGGAAACGAAGGAGAAAGCAAGGGATTCGGATCGGGAGGAAACGCTGGCTTTGGATCGAGTGGAAATACAGGCTTCGGATCAGGCGGAAATACGGGCTTCGGATCGAGTGGAAATACGGGCTTCGGATCGGGAGGCGGTTTCGGTGAAACTGGCGAGAAGAGCGGCTTCGGAGGTGGTGGTGGATTCGGTGGACAAGGAGGAGCAACTGGAGAACGGCCTCGCGGCTGCTTCAACTGCGGAGAAGAAGGCCATCGAAGTGCTGATTGCACTCAGCCAAGGAAGTCACGAGGTTGCTTTATTCCTTTGTTATGCATAATTTTATGTTTTAGGATGTTTCAATTGCGGTCAAGAGGGACATCGATCCAATGACTGCCCTGAGCCGAGGAAGCCTCGAGATGGAGCTGGAAGAGGTTATCTTTTATGACATGGTTTAATTCATATAATATTTTAGGGGCTGGTGGAGGCGGATTCGGAGGCGGTGCTGGAAGCGGCTTCGGGGGACAAGGGGGAGAACGACCCCGGGGATGCTTCAACTGCGGAGAAGAAGGCCATCGATCTAACGAATGCCCTCAGCCAAGAAAGGCCCGTGAAGGGGGAGGTTTACATCTCTTGTGAAATGCATTAATTAATCGATTTAGGTGGTGGAGCTAGAGGAGGAAGCGGATTTGGAGGAGGAGCAGCAGCAACTGGCGGATTTGGAGGAAGCGGCTTTGGCGCAGCTGGTGGTGGAAGTGGATTTGGTGGAGGAGCGACTGGTGGAAGTGGTTTTGGAGGCGGCGGGGCCGGAGAACGCCCCCGAGGATGCTTCAACTGTGGAGAGCAAGGCCATAGATCCAACGAATGCTCTCAGCCAAGAAAGCCGCGTGAAGGTGGAGGTTTACATCTTTCGTAAAATTAAAATAAAAGATTTAGGTGGTGGAGCTGGAGGAGGAAGCGGATTCGGAAGCGGAAGCGGCTTTGGAGGTGGAGCAACTGGTGGAAGCGGCTTTGGCGCGTCTAGCGGAGGAAGTGGATTTGGTGGAGGAGCAGGCGGCGGAAGTGGATTTGGTGGGGGTGGTGGAACCGGAGAACGGCCCCGAGGATGCTTCAATTGCGGAGAAGAAGGCCATCGTTCCAACGAATGCCCTCAGCCAAGAAAGCCGCGTGAAGGTGGGCCACCACGAGGTTAGCTTCAAAGTCTTTTCCTTATAATTTTTTTTCTTTCAGGTTGCTTCAATTGCGGTCAAGAAGGTCATCGATCCAATGAGTGCCCCGAACCAAAGAAACCTCGAGAACAAGGCAGCGGCTTTGGTGGATCAGGATTTGGCGGCGGTGGAGCTGGATTCGGCAGTGGCGGAGGACTCTTTGGAGCTCAAACAACAGCCGGTAGTGAACGTCCACGTGGTTGTTTCAATTGCGGACAAGAAGGTCATCGATCCACCGAATGCCCTCAGCCGAGAAAGCCGAGAGATGATATGGGTAATAATTGATCAGCTCGTTGCAGTGTATTTTCAGTTTTAGATCCTTCGAGCAAGCCAGCATCGACCTATGTTCCAGTGGAGGTGCCGGACGAAGAGCTTTTCAAATTCAGAATCACCGAGGGAGACCGCTTCAAGGAGTTCTTCGAGGCCGACGTCAATGTAACCTCCTCCGGGAAGAAAATCAAAATTTCCCCAATCAAGTGCGCATTTTTCCTGGGATATCTAACCAGCAGTTTTATAGCACTTTTGATGAATTGGAGCTTCCGCCTCAAGTGAAGGCAAATGTGCGAGAAGCTGGTTACAACAAGCCGACTCCGATTCAACAACACGCTATGGCAATCATCAAGAACAAGATGGACCTTATGGCTTGTGCTCAAACAGGATCAGGTAACAATCAACGATTGCTTGTCCCTTTTAAAAAGTGAATTCTAGGCAAAACAGCTGCTTTTCTTCTGCCGATCATCAAAGATCTCATCGTAAATGATGACATGGCTTGTGCTGGTTCTGGATCTGCTTCACCTCGTTGCGTCATTGTGGCACCTACCCGCGAGCTTGCCGATCAAATCTCCAGAGAGGGGCAGAAATTCTTGCGAGGAACCGTCCTCAAGATTGCGTCGGTTTACGGAGGAACACAAGTTGGAGCAGCAAAGGCTCGTCTCGCTATGGTAAGGATCAAGCCTCTGATTTGATAGGTACATTTCGACTTGCAGGGTCCTAGTATTGTGGTCGGAACGATGGGTCGTTTGCTTCACTTCATCAAAGACGGTACAATCAGTATGGATGAAGTTCGCTACATCGTCTTGGATGAAGCTGATCGAATGCTTGAGACTTCAAGCTTTGCCGATGATGTCCGAAAGTACGTTTGAACCTTTTTCCGCTGAGTTGACTTTTAGGATGATCAACCTTGGACCTTCGAAGGAGAAGCGAACAACGCTGATGTTTTCGGCTACATTTCCAGACGAGGTTCAACAACTTGCCAGTGAGCATCTCAAGTCCGACCATGCACAACTTGCTGTCGACAAGATTGGATCGGCAAATCGCTGCATTACTCAGGTAGTTGCTCATGTGCATGGCTTTTAATAAGACTGGTTTAGGAATTCATCGAAGTTTCAAGCAGGCAAGGCAAGAGAGACAAGTTGCTCGAGCTTTTAAATGTCGACGTCAATAATTACACTGTCAAGGGTAGGTAGCAAGGTTGTGTAAAGGATCACAAGATTTTTCTATAGATCAATCGATGTTCGAAAAGAAAACTATTGTGTTCGTCAATCGTAAAGCTTTCGCCGATCAACTGGGACTGACGCTGAGTGAGGCCGGACTGCCAGCAGTGACAATGCACGGAGACCGAGAACAACGACAACGCAGTGAGGCTCTATCTGAATTCCGGTCTGGATCGTAAGTTCTTTTCTTTGTATTCACGCAATGTATGTGTCTATTTTAGGAAACCCGTTTTGATTGCGACTGCTGTTGCTGAGCGTGGTCTTGACATCCAAGGAGTCGATCATGTGATCAACTATGACTTGCCGCAGTGCAAGGAAGATTACGTGCATCGAATTGGTCGTACTGGACGAGTGGGGAATCCAGGTATGCGAAGCGTTCATTTTTGTAATTTTTGTAACCAATGTAACTGGTTTTTCTTAGGTCGCGCAACATCGTTCTTCGATCCAAGTGATAGCAACGACATGAATCTTTCTGCTGCACTTGTTGGAATTCTCGCAGAAGCTCATCAAATTGTGCCGGACTTCTTACAAAGTGCTTTAGGAACCGCTTGGTTCTCGGTTAGTTAATTCGACAAAGTTTGTTAATTCTCTGAACTTTCAGGTGAACGCGCAAGCTGCTCCATCTGGTGGTGCCGACGCTGATGAAACCGATTGGTAGAGCTCTAGCTCCAAGATTAATCACGTTAAAGTTAGGAAATTTGCTGCCGTTAATAAATTTCGTTTTTGATGCTGATTATTTTGGGTAAAAGTACTCAAGTGGACTTGTGCAATACATAAATTGTTGAGGTAGCGATAAATTAACGCTTTTTTTCATTGTTGATAACTTGTAAGCATTGTAATAAGGTAATAAGACGATTTTGGAGGGTGCTGGTTATGATGAAGCCAAAGCGGCCAAATAACTCTTTGGCGCAATCGTGCATCCAAACTGTCGAAAGTCGGGCTAGGGACAAAACTGATGAAAATGCTCTTGGCTTCTTGTGCCCTATGAAATACACAAATCAACTGGTTGATCCACCATTTGCACCGAAGTTCCTTCCGTGCCCATTTGTTCAAATCGATAGGTACTTTTCATGGTTAAAAGTAGGCAACATGTCTTTAGGTTCATTGACTACCGTGAGACAATTTTGGAGAAGCAAAACTCGCAAGAAATTCACGCCGACCCTTTTGTTGGGGTGAATATTGATTTGGTCGATCCGTTAGCATATGCCCGGCCTGAATCGACAGTCAAAGTATTTGTCTTTTCTAATTACTATCAAAATCATTTAGCTTCATCCAGCTGATGCAAAGCTTCTTGAGTCGGATACTCTTGGTCCAATGGACACTCAACGGTTTTTAACGACTTGGTATATTACTCACTATCAGTTGTTTATAGATCGTTGCAACATGCTCGAGTTGTTCCATGGATGCGCAAAACTGAATACATATCTTCAGAATATAACAAGTTATTATTTAATTTTTTTACGGAAGGGAATATTTTTAGATTTGGTCGAGGCGTTGCTGATCGTCAAGAAACGAAAATCGGAGTGAAACTTGTGCCAAAGCTGAAAGAAATGCTCAATCGTGACAAACTATCAAAAATTGAGGCTATTTCGAAAACTTTTACTGAGGTAATTAGATTTTTTTATTTTAAAAGTTCTGTTTTAGGTACAGAAAAAAGTCACGAAGCATTATGCTAAAAAAGGCGTTTATGCCGTGGAAGAATTGCCTATCTTACCCGATTTTAAGGTTTGAAGCGATTAAAGTTCATATAAGGTTTTTATAGCTTTGGAAATACGACTTTGCAATTGTTCGCTTTGACTCGGATCCTTGCCCCGGAAATTACGAGGAGGTCGACTTGCCAAAAATGCTGATGTCTCAGGCCCAAATACGGTTTTCCCTGCTAAGTTGTCTTTTTAATTTAAATTCAGTGGAATGCAATCAAACGGCGAACAATTCGTCTCTTATTATTGTCCAACTACTGACACGCTACAAAAACGCAAGGAAGACAAAGAACGAGGAATTCTGTTTGACGAAAACCATACGTAATTTTGATGCCTGTTACTGCTATTAAATTTTTTTTTTAGCTACTCACATCGTCAAGTGCGTGACTATTACTGGTCGGTTAATCAGGGAACCAATTTCCAGGTATGCGTTAAAGTGAGTTTACTTTCAAAATATAACATTCAGAACAATTTCTTCTTTTCTTTCCGTCCCGATGGTGTTCATTACAATTGTTTTCAATCACGTGTCAAGTTAACTAAACGAAAGGCCGTATCGCAGACAGTTTGTAAATTTGTTTTACCTCTAATTGCATCTTGTTTAGGCCACGATCCTTACTATCAATTATACCAACCCGACAGAAGAGGAAATTGAACGAATGAGTAGAAGGGTAATATCCATCTTTTTGCGCTCAGTTATATACCTCTTTAGTTACGTCAGCTTCTAACTGGAGGATTAGAGGAAGAATTTGTGGAAACCGAAGAGCAAGGAAGCGATCGAGGCGAACTATCGGACGAAGAACAAGAAATTCATGAGGAGAAAAGCGAGGAAACGATTCATGAAGGTTGTTTCTTAATATCTACTAAATGCTTAGTTTCTATTTCAGAGAATAAAGATGAGGAGCTGGTTGTTACGAACGTAAGCAACGCCAGACATGACTCAATGAAATTCATCAAAGTAGAACGTGAGCTATAGTTGATCTTTTTGGAAAAATGAACATTCTTTAGTTAGCTCCAGTTCCGACTATGAGGATTAACCAGCGCCTCCAATGATAAATGGAATGCCTTTTTAAGCTCTTTTAAAGCATGATTTTGTTGTTAAGAGTTGTTTTTTTAACTCTGTCAATGTAGTTTTTAGTTCCATTATTTGCTACTGTTTTTCAGTCGTATTTTTTGAATAAAATTTTACTTAAAATCTGCAGATTTCTATATGCAAAAATCATTGAGGCGATCAGATTACTCGAAAAGTGCAAAAAAGAGGAAATTCGTGCTTCAGCAAAAGTGAAACGCAGATCATTGGAATGCGTAGAATGTGTTTTGTCTACTCGTGTTTTCGGAAATCAAAGCTGAAAACGAGTGCAACAGTCTTCTTTTTGATTACATTGCAAGTATTGATGGCTTTTCTTATCGCGGCCAAAAGAATTTCGGGGTCATTTAGCATACGGGTGCAATTTCCATATAAATTGTATTTTCTCAAATACTCAACCATTTTTATCATTCGAACATTTCTGTTTCTCTCAATATGCTGCGTTCTTTTCGAACAGGTCACTTTTAACGATGTTTTGATTTATTTAGATATTTTTTATGGTAGCAGATTGACTAGTTTGGGGTTCAGGTTCAATTTATTTGCTTTAGGTGTTCATCAAATTGGTCGAGGTTTAGCATCAAAGACCCCCGAACACATTCCAAGCACGTTGAGTCTTGAGAAGGCGACGATTTCGGATCTTCCTGCTCTCTCGCGGCTTTTCCTCTCAAATTTCGTCCACGATGAGCCACACGCTAGGGTGATTTTTTTACTTATTTGCTTAAACATTAAAAGTTTGCGTAAGTCGGCCTAAGCTTGAGCAAACTATGCGAAATGGTTAAATCGTTGACTATGGAATAAAGAAACACTAGCTAATCTTTTGTCTCCATGTCTTGATGCTTTCATTTTCAGGCTCTGCGAATGGGCAATGAGGCGGCGCCACTGTTTGAAGCGATTGCCGGCTCGTGTCTCAAACAGCCTTATTCCCTGAAACTCACCGACAACGCTCAATCACATAAGGTATGATTTTATGATTTTAATTGCATTCTTTCTAAAATTTCGTTTGGAAAAGTCATTTCCAATTTTATCGTGATAAAATTGTTTACGAATTTAGTTGATTGGCTTTCGACTCTTGGGCATTGGTCATCGGGATTCGTCAAAAGATCCTTACCCCGTTGAAGTCGACATTCGTGCTCCCAATGTTTTAACATTTGGTGAGTTTTTTAAAATGCTTGAGGGGAAATCGTTTTTTGTTTTTGCTTTTAGCCAAGCTGATGTCAGAGTCAAAAAAGCTTTGGCTTGACGCGTTGCCGCATGTGAATAAGGTGCTTAGGTAAATGTGTTCTTTTTATTAAACTTAATTGATTGATTGATTGATTCATTCATTCATTCATTCATTTTTCATTTTACAAAACGTATTTGTTTTTTATTTAGACGTGAGATTTCATACGTGATGCCAGCTTATCAAAGAAAAGGAATCGGCGCCTATATGCTTCATTACGGTCTCAACTTTGAGAAACTCAAGGTGAAATTTTGTCATACTTGTGATTATGTTACTGATTTCAAAAGGATAATTGACTGGATTTTAGAGCGACGGTGTGCAAGGAATTGTTTCTGAAGCCACCTCACTCGCCAATCAACGTCTTCTCTCTCTCAATGGATATAAAGAGGTTGCCGTACTTCCTGACAGGTAAAAATTTCTATTTTTTTTGATACTGTAATCAAAAGATGCCGGTTCGTAATTCACGATTTGTTTGGAATTTCATATTTTTTTTTTATATTTAGTGCCTACGAAAATCTGAATTTGCAATTCGAGAATGGCACTCGCAATATCAAGGCCTACTACTTGGAGTTGAAATAAACGACAGCAAAAATGAACGAAATTTGAGTATTTCCTCCTTTTTGTGTATATTTTTTTGTTTTTCTAACAAAAAAATCAAAAATTTATGTCGTGGTCTCGAATAAAAAATTCAATGGGATCTTTTGGGTATCAATGGGATCTTTCGGATATCAATGGGATCATTTGCAAATCATCTCATCATCTTTTACCCAAATTTGCAGAATCTTTATGAGCAGGTGTCAATCGAGATATTTTGAATGGTCATGTTGATTGAAAGTGATGCCGAACGAAGAACTGGGTAAACATTAAAGGGTCACAGCATAAAGGCGGCACACATTTCTTGCTAATTGAACTTATAAAAGAAAACAAATACGTGGGGAAACGGGCGAATTTCTTGTTTTCAATGGCTATTAGCTTTTAAGCTTAATGCTTACAAGCTAATAGCTTAATGCTTACAAGCTTATAGCTTAATGTTTACAAGCTAATAGCTTAATGCTTACAAGCTAATAGCTTACAATATGCTTACAATGCCGGTAAAAAGAAGGCTCTCTTTGTTGATCTATCTACTGCAGTTTTCTTTTTGTTTCTCAGCTTTAGATGGTTCAAATGGGAATTCGAGTGATAATAGAAATTGAGGGCAAACGCTTGACCTCTGCCTTTTAGGTAACTTTTGTGTAAAAATCAGCTGTCTAACTGTGCCAAAAAGATGTCATTTACTGAATTGACCCTCATTCACTCATCGAGTGTACTGTATTTGCCCAATGGACAGGTGCCAGATCATAGGCACCAAAATTGCGTGAAAGCCTCGACGATAAACACACAATAGATTTTCTCTTGAACTGCCTTACCTTTTTATTTGTTTTTTTTAAAGAATCATTGAAAAGTTTTTAGTCTTTAAGAAGTCTTTAAGATCGATTTCCCATTTCAAATGATCATATTGGCTTTACTTATTCTATGCTATTCCCCTCGTCCCTTGATGACTCGACTTTTGGAACCAGGAAATTCAAAGGTTTAAGACCATTATATAAACGTTTTGATACTGTAAAAAATTGCCAAAACTTAAGTGCTTTATCTGTTTAGATTGATGCCCATTTGGTGGAAAGTGTTTTGTCGGATGTAGTCGAGCACTCGATGAGCGATTTGACCGAGAAATTGAGGTCGGTTTGGCTAATCGAATGCTGACTAAGAAACTTGACTACCGTTTCCCTAATAGTAGTGCACCGTAAGCTTTTGCCTAAATTGCTCGAAATCTCGAAAAGCGCTTATCAGAACCTATCGATGTGGGGTCGGAAAATGTAGCTGACGATGAGATCTAATGGGGGATTAGAGTGTTGAGTCTCTGTGAAAACTTTGAAAGCCGTAAAATAGTCATCAACTCGGCTCGCCGCGGTGCACTACTATTAGAGAAAATACGGTATATTATGAAGTTTAGGCTAAAAGTAGACAAACCATTCGTTCTTCAGAACCGCTCTCCGGCATATCCTTTTCCCCGACGAGCAGCTTCATGCACGGAGACAGATTACGGTAACGAGATATGCTAAAGCTTCAGCTAAAGAATTAGGATTTTATTGACGAAATTTATATAAAAAAATTGTTCAAGCAAGAAGAGGAACAACTCGTCGCCACGTTTATCAATCAATTGATGGAACAACGACATTTGAGTGGTCAGTGGAATGGGTTCTTATCGGCTAAAGTGTTTTCTAAAAGTCTCATTTCGAAACTATTGTAACCTCCTTTAGTTTTCCTCAAATCTATCTATTTTTATTGTTCTAAATCTAGTACGGTAATCATTTTTCAGCTCCGAATATTCAACGCTTTTCGACGAGAGTCAACTCGAATCCGATTCGAGTTGTAGGTGAGTGAAATCGCAAAATGCGCATAATCTAGCTTTGATTACAGAGAAGTACAGTTGTTCAGAAAGATTAGAAAAAACAATTGCTGTCATAAATCAATTTTAGAGCAGTTGAAGGCCACCCAACTCTCCGATGATCCTCTCGAGCTTTCGAAGGTTTGTCATTTTGATGAGCTTTGAACAAAACTTAGGAATGTCTTTGTTATGTAAATCTATCAAGTTTTAGTCTAAAGAGAATCCAACCAAAAATCCTCGTGAAGAGAAAAGAAATGGAGATCAAAACGGTCTTCTCAACTCGATTCATTTACCCATCGATCCGCCGAGATTCTCCCCAAAATCCCAGAAAATCTCCGTCGCTTTGGAGACAGTAACCACGAAAGTTTGTTCATCACATAGAGGATTCGATTTGCTAAAACTTGTCTAGAAAAATTACCGTAATCGTGAAAGTTGACACTGTTTAGATAACCACATTTTCAGACTCCGACAAAAATCACTTTTGATTTAATTCTGTGGTTTACAAAAAGATACAAAATCACAATAATCAAGAATTTTTTGTATCAAAAGATAAAGATAAAGATAAAAAGATAAAAAGTGAATAGATTGGTTTTAACCAGCCTTTAGACTGGAAAGATTACGGATACGTGAAAGTTGGCACTGTTTAGATAACCCCATTTTCAGACTCCGACAAAAATCATCACCGTTGATGAGTTGCGTTTCGCTGATGAGGCATTGCATGATGATGACGTAAGTGATGAAAATTGCATAAGAATGATATAGTTTCATTTACTAATCGTAAACGTTTGATTTTCTTGACGAATCTTAACTCCAGACTCCCGAACCTCCATCTCTATTCCTATCAGCCTCCCGTCTTCCCATTTGGATCTGCGTTTTCCTTTCGATATCTCTCGTTTTTGCGAGCACCGCTTGTGGAGGTAAATTCCCAGATTTAACCTTAAAATTGAAAACATCAAATAAGAAATAATCTGCTTTAATGATGATGAATGATTTCAGTGGCAGTGATCCGTTTGTGGCGATCGAAACGGCGAGAGAACAAAATGAGAGCTCGATCGCTTCACCGTTTCCCCGATCCGCTCACGATTTCGGGTAAAAATTGAGAATTATTTAATTGATCGGTATAAGTCTTTATATAATAATAATAATAATAATAATAATACCGTAAATACTGTAATAGTACCCCACCCCCTCGTACAGGCGCGTAGTCGCAAAAGTTTTTTAGTATTTCATTTTTTTCAAAGCGCCCGTACTTTCAAAAAATGCGTCTTTGGTATCAAAAAATAGCCCTGAATTTCAGCTATTTTTTGATACCTAAGCACGCATTGTAGCATAAACCAGTGTCGAGAAACACTCGTTCAAAGCTAGACTACGCAACGCTCCACATCGTCATTATGGGGGTGGGGTACTATTACAGTATTTACGGTAATAATATAATAATAATAATAATAACAAATGTAATAATATATAAGATAATATTATTATTATTATCTTATATATTATTAAACCATTTTCAAATGTAAATTGTAACTGTTACTATTTTTTGTAATGTTTAGGCTTCACTTGTGTCCCTGGTTGCGACAACGGGCCCGGCACGTTTCTTGAGCGAATGAAAGTGATGAATCGGGTGAATCGGTGCGAGATTTGCAAGTGTTTTCAAGAAAAGGCAAAGTACAGTATGCCTAGAAGTGTCTGGCGTAACTCGTAGTAATTGTAATTGTAGATTAATATAGTTTTCGATTGCAAAAGAAAATCTAGAGCCCCGAGCACTTGCCGAGAACGGGAGGATGAAACGATTTGGAGAACGGCGAACTCGTTGAGAAGTCGACAAATTTGAGGAAATCAGTTACAGTACTTGCGTTTGAGATTACGGTTACATACTCTATTATTCTAAGAATCTTGTTTTCCATGGTACTTGTACTTTTAGACTACAGTAATCCAAGAATAGATTTTTGATTCTTCTATTTGATTGCTTTGATTGGTGCTTTGATTTCTTTGAAATTCTACTTATCAGCTGATTTCCTTTAACTGAATCGCTTTCTAAAAGATGTGCTCATGAAAAAGCTACAGTAACCAGCTACAGCTACAGTAACCAGCTATAATTACGGTAACCAGCTACAGCTACGGTAACCAGCTACAGCTACGGTAACCAGCTACAGCTACAGTAACCAGCTACAGTAACCTGGCAACAAAGCTATATCACCTTCTTGAAATCTCAATTAACAGCTAAGCTATCGTTAGTTGATCTGAAAATTGTTGAAAATAAGTCGATTTTATTTACATTCCAAAAAAAGCTGGATACTGTAGCTTTCCTAGAGAGAAAACTCAAATAAACAAGTCGACTTGTGTTTTGGTGTTAATCTCGGCATAAACAATGTATAAATATCTTTATTTACAATCATTATTGACAAATAAAAGGTCTTTATGGCTGCGATGAACGCCTCTCCCCATCGATCCCCTCGACCTCTTCCCCGGCGTGTCCCTCCTTCTCTCCTTCATCTCCTTCCATATTTCCCTCTCTGATCACTCTTTTTCCTCTTTTCGTCTCCTTTTCTATCGATTTTCGACTTTTATTCACTTCATCGATATTCAGATAATGAAGATGTTTGTAGTCTTCGTGAAGCCGCTTTTTTAACTCTTCTCTGAAAAGTAAATGATTGATTTGCGGAACTCAATTTGCTGTCTTCATCGAGGCAAATCAATAAACTTGCCGTTATTGTTTATTTACCCAGAAAAATGGCTTTAAAAACCCGAGAAAAACCTAGAAAAACCTAGGTCTAGAAAAACCAGCTAGACCAAGTCTAGCTGGTTTGATTCTCGAAAAAATCCTGGAAACGGGTCTAGTTCAAGATTTTATGGCAAGGAAAATAGTCAGAAGTAGGCCCGTCACTGTCCAAAATAGTCACTGGTGACTTTTTTTCTTGCCAACTTTAGAATCAGAATTGAAATTCGAAATAGAATATGAAAAAGTTCAGAGCGACAAGTTATTTTTATTCATTTCCCTTAAAAAGTGAGGATTTAGGGAAGTGTAAAATAAAGAGATAAAGCCAAAAATTTAGGCTTTTTCTACAAATTCTAGTTAACATTCGTTTGTCAATGTCTTGTTGTCTTGTTGTCAATGTCAATGTCTTGCCCAGTTGCTTCTATTTGCATCTGAGAAAATAACAAAAGAAAAACTGAGAAAAGCCCTATTTCTCAATTCACTCACTCATCAATATCGTTCCTTCTTCGGCGTTTCCCCACAAATTGTATCTTCTGTACCCTCTCGTAAGAATAGTTGAAGAAAATCTCGTCACCAGCTCGGATATCTTTTCGTGCGTAAATCCCGATTCGATGCATTCCATTCACGATCATTACCTGAATATCTTTTTTGTTGTTGTAAAATCATTTACATTACCCTTGGCACACAATTTGGCTCATCACAATGATTGGCGAAACGAATCGAGTTCCCGATTCGAGTCGCATCCACAGCTTGCTCGTCATTTAACTCTAAAAGACATGATTTCACAAAAATCAAAAGTAAATAGATTTCAATGAAAAGTAAAGCCAAGATAGCTTTAAAAGACAACAGACAGCAGCCAAGATAACTTTAAAAGACAACAGACAACAGCCAAGATACAGTACTGGACAATGAAATATCATATTTGAAAAACGATCGTCATTTTTGCGCGTTTGTAAAACTCCATTGTCTTTGAGTTTAAACTATTAGTGTTATACATTTCTAAAAGCTCTTTTCAAGGGCTACACAATGGTAATATTAATATTTAGAAATACGGTAAAGACAAGGGAGTTACAGACGCGCAAAAGTGACGATCTTTTTTCAAATATGATATTTCATTGTCCAGTAGTGTGGCTTTAAAAGACAACAGTTTTTTTTGCTAAATCTTACTAAATATATACGAGCATCCGATTCGATCGTAGATTCGCCCACGACGCTCGCACTCATCCACAGAGATCACCTGGAAAGATAATTTTCAATTTTAATTCCCGAATGCGTTTCCTAAAGTCAGTGGGGTTACGATGGTTTTCTGAAATAGATGTCTTTTAGAATGAATTTAGAATGAAATTAGAATGAATTTAGAATGAAATTAGAATGAATTTAGAATGAATTCCTTTTTCACTCACCTCTCCACAATATTCACTAATCAATTCCCCTCTTTTCACGTTTTCATCAACAAAACATCCCCAACCGGCGATATCAGAGACGCCAACCTTAAATTAAGAGATTTCGGTTTTGTTTTTCTTTTCTGAAATCAAGGTTTTAAAGATAAAAACCTCTGTCATTTTATTTTTTTGTAAAAGGTAAGCTTTTAAAGTCTTTTAAAGTTAAACAAAAACTCTTTTCCTGTTTTTTTAATCAACTCACCAATAACCTCTTTTGCTGATTTCTTTGGAGTTGAACATTTGTGCAAGAGGGCGGGGGTTTAGAGCTAAAACATTGAAATTCATTTGTGCATTGCAGCATTGAACATTTGTGCAAGAGGGTGGTTTAGAGGCGGTTTAGAGCCAGGCGGTGGTTTAGAGCTAAAGCATTGAAATTCATTTCATTTCCCCAACAAACCCCGATTTCGTGTTTTCGCTTTTTCGTTTCTTTCGCTCATCGGGCAATTCTCTTTCTTTTGAATCGCTCCGTTTCGACTCGTCCTCGTCCGCTTCACCCTACAAAATATTGGAGTTTTCTTGGAAAGTTTGGAAATGCTTTTGTTTTGCTTTTGCTTACCGTTTGATCTTTGATTTGATCCCCATCTTGGCTGATCTCCGTTAAATGATTTCCCTCGATACACGAGTCGACATCGAATTCTAGAAAATTACTGACTACTTCTTGAAACTTTTGTCAGCATTGCATAAAAAAATGATAAAATTACAAGCACGTTACAGCCTACTAGACATTTACACTACAAAATACAAACGTAAACTACAAATGCTTCTAACTTACTTCAAATCTGCCACATTGACATGATCTATAGCTCAAAAAATAGAGAATCTAAAGGGCTTTTGAATGGATTAAAGCACACACAAAAATATCAATTTTAAAGAAAGTTATAGTAGTTTGTAGCCTGTCTTGATTGCTTCGACTATGCTCGATTACGATCAGATGTTCCGTTTGTGTGCTTTGGTTCACTCGAAAGCTCTTGAGATGCTCGATTTTTTAAGCTATAGATCATGTCAATGCAACAGATTGGAACCAAGTTAGAAGCGTTTGTAGTTTACGTTTGTAATTTATAGTGCCCATGTCTACAGCGTACTTGTGATTCACCCAAAAGTGTCAGAGATCGTCACAAGTATCAATTACTAGTATCCTACTTTTGTTTGTGCATAATTTTTCTGGATTTATCTCAGAATTTCCTTTATTTTTCTGTCTCAAGCGAAATAAAACCATTTTACCTGCGCCACACTCTTTGCACAAATCGGGATCACACTCGAAATTCGCCAAGAAACACGCGCACTGTCGAGTGTTGCATTTGCCTGAATAGAGGCTTTTTTAAAATTCATTTTAAAACCATATCCTTTCCCTTAGCCACTCACCGGCCGCGCACTTGCACCCAGGGAATTTGTGGGGACAATCCTCGCATTGACAATACTTTGTGCACACATTGTTGTCGCGTAAACACGCGCAAATCCCTTCCTGAACATGCTAACTATTAGAGTCAAACCATATATAACTATATAGAGCTATGAAGATCAGCTCAAAAGCTATCCAACTCAAAAGCTATCCAACTCAAAAGCTATCCAGGCTCAAAAGCTATCCAGGCTCAAAAGCTACCCCGCATTCCACTTACCACACATTTCTTGCCCGGATGATTACACGGCTGGACTTGATGCGAGATTGAGACCTATAAGGGAAAAAAGAAATTTAGCATACAAGCATAATAAATTGGCTTAGGCTTGGAGTCTTGAAGTCTTGAAATATTTAAAATGATATTAATCAATCTGTACAATGCATCTAAGCTAAGCAGTAAATCCACGAAAAAGCCAAAACCTCGCCAAGTTTGTGCCTCGTCGAACGAAAAGTTTGATGCTGATCTCGACTGAAATTTGTAGATTTGATTATAGATTTGATTATAGACTTGATTATAGACTTGACTATAGATTATAGATCTATTTATCTAGAAAATAATTTAGATATCTCTATCTAGTATTTTCAAAAGCTAATCTCAAAAGGCCACCGTTTCTTCTCGGGTTCACCCTCCTCTTTCGGATCAGCGACGAACTCGGCGATGCCTTGTGACCGTAAAAAGTTAAACATCTAAAAATTATCTAATATTCTTTAATATTAGAGATTTTTATTAGATATTTTTATCCATTCTCTTACCTCTTTGCATGTTATTGTGAAAGCCGGCTTTTTCACGTAGATTTTCACGAGTTTCGCCAATCGGCACGCTGAATGAGCCCCGTTTCGATCGATGGCCATTTTTCTAGAAGGAAAATATGTTTGTAAAATCTTTGTTATCTGTTAATCTATGTTATTCTTTAACGCGTAAAGCTATAATAGCCATAATTGTATATCAAAATAGAATATTGATTTGAATAACTGCACATCTTACTAACAATAACTAAAGATCTGGAATGCCTGAATCTGAATGATGATGAACAATTAAATATTCAGTTTTGCAGATTTTTAGATGTTTTCAACCGGCTCTAGGAGCTGGAAATCAAGCCAGAAGCTTGATCCAATGACTTTTTGTGGGCTTTACCTGGTTTAACTCGAAAAAAATTGCTTTTAAAACAAACGTTTGAATCTTTTGAAACTTTTGAATTTGTAAACATGTAAACAAACTTGAAATGTGCTTCGAGAAAAGCGTGATTATCGGGGAATTTGAGTTGCGGTTTCGATGGGGAAGCTGAAGAGGATAGATCGAGCGAGAGTTTCCCCTTTGCCGGCCGCCCGCGATGCGGTGTGCCAGAAGAAGCCGTTTTCTCCGTTTTCCATGGCTAAAAGTTGATCATAAGATCTAGTTAAAGACACCGAATTTAGATTCATCGCTGACCTCATCCAATTTATAGCACATGCCTCCACAAATCGTTGATCGTATCCGCTCCTTTGAGTCGGGCTCTCGTTCCGGCAAATCGCATGATTTCTTCCACACTCGACCCTCGTCAATCAGACCTAAAGAAGGAGATTTGGCCTCAATCGATCGACCGTCGATTCAACAATGACAATTTCAGTGAACATGTGATCAGTGGCTGATCAGTAAACAGATTCTCTCACCATGCGTCTGACAGTCAAAGCAACAACACCGTGGACAGTAGACGGCTTCGATTGAATGCAGAAAAGTCTCGCCTTCCTGGAATTGAGCTAGGAATAGTTCAAAAACTATCCCCGAAAAGAGCAACAATTCCCCACTTTGATTCCCCTAGATTTCGGTGAGATTGGTGATCGGGGTGAGAGTTGAGAGGAGGTTGGATGAACAGGTGACAAGAGCTGTGTGCTTGACGAGGTCTAGAAGTATTATGGGTTCTTTTGAATGATAAGTGAAGCTTTAAATGTTTAAAGAGTTACTATCTTTATTTAGTTTAGTTGAGAAAACTCTAGTCTATTTCGTGAGATGAAATAGAAGTGAATTGAGGTAAATCATTGCTTAATTAATGATTCAAATATGGGAAATTCATCTGTGAAGTAATATTTTCTTTTTCTCACCTGTGCTTTCATCGTTTTACTAATGAGTAAACGAGGTCGAAAATCGTGAACACTGAAAAGCAATTTAGAACACTGAAAAGCAATTTAGAACATTTAGAAAGCACAAAATTTCAATTTGACTCACTGTGTGCCCAATTGTCTAACAGTGCATTTATTCGGGAACAAATAATGAATCGTTTTATGGAGATCCTCTTTGTTTCGACCAGAACTCGAGAATCTCAAAGATTTATTTTGTTTATCTTAAACTTAATTCATCTTCAATCTTCAATCTTCAATCTTGAAATAATCTTGAAATCTAAAGTTTCTTAAACTTACTTTGCCTCTAAAGTTCTCAACATTCGATAAAGCATCCAATCGTTCAAATATCTTCCCCAACCCTCGCGCACACCGTGAATCCCCTAGAAATAATAATGGGAATTGATAATAAAATATAAAACAAAGCCAAGAAAGAGGTAGAAAAGAGAAAGGTTTTTTTTGAAAAAAAATCCCTTAAAAGATTGCTTGTAGATAAACCTCTTCAAAATCATCCATCAACTCCTCGCCGAACGCTAAATCCTCATCAGTCTCCCCAATAAATGGAATGTGTGACAAAGCTCGCTCGTCCTCAGTCTAATCATTTTGTTTTCCAATATACTTTCGACTCACCCGAAGATTGTTCTCAGTATGAGTCCAGAACATCATCGGTGGCACTTGAGTGAATTTAAAGCCGCTGGGGAGTGGAATGAATGGCACTGTTTGAGAATCTCCTCCATTAATTGGCTCTACCTAGAAGATGGGTTTGAATTTAGCTAAATTAGCTTTTAAGTTTGCTAAACTCTGTCAAAAAACTATAGACCAATGTTTTTTTCAACGCGCCATAAGTACTAGCCTAGTGAAAAGCCTTTTTTTCATCCCATACAAAATTTCAAGTCATTTCACTAGTACTGTATCGTACAAAAAACGTTTTGCCAGTTGTCGAGAAATTTATTTAACTTTATTTAACAATTTATTCTTCGATTTATTCGATTTAGCTTATTTAGCTGTTTATGATTAATTAGTTTGTGGCTTTTTTTTGCTTATTATTTATGTTTATATGTCGTAGCCGTTTACGAAATTCAGCCACTAACGAACATTCGTAATCGGCTAGCCGCTAACGAGTGATTCGTAATCGGCTAGCCGCTAACGAGTGATTCGTAATCGGCTAGCCGCTAACGAGTGATTCGTTAGCGGCTGAATTTCGTAAACGGCTACGACATATATATATTTTTCTATTTTCAGACAACAACTGGGTTTGATGAACAAAACGCGCGTCGATATGCTCGATATGCTCCACACGCTCCACACGCTTGGTCACTCAAACAGGGACATTGCTCATATTAGTTGACTTTACCCTTGGCTTTTGTAGTCAAATCACGACCAAATCATGCTCATGGCTTTAGCTTTACGTTAGACAAACCAACTAAATTGAAATTTACGATCCAGACCCAAAATACATTCAAAATAAGCTTTTATGCTTTTACTATGCCTTTTTATGCACAAAAATAATGAGAAAGAAATTTTTAAACATCAAAAACGACTTTTTCTTTTGACCTTTTGGACCGTGAAGTTCAATTTAGCCAAACCTTCATCAATCCCGATAAATGAGTCGAGTGCGTTTGGGGAATGAAATCGGCGAGTCGAACGAGAATCTCTTTCCTTTCCTCGTCGACAATGATTCGACGCCGCTCCGCACTGTGCACTTCGTTCCATACTTGCTAAGAAGCGTGAAATAAGTACTTACTAGACAAAATTCCAACCCGAACTTAATTCCATCTTCGTTTTGACCGATTGCTCTGAAATTTTGTCTACAAGCAGAGAATGCCAATTTCTATTTGTAAACAAAATTTCAGACAATCGGCCAAGAAATCAAAGGTGGAATTAGGTTCAGGTTGGGGTTTTCCTATACATCTACTTACAGTTATCTAGCCAGGCCCACAGCATATAAGCTAGACCAGCCAGAAACCTGTGAATCAGGCAAAGCAAGTCCAAAAGCTAGCCAGGACCTGATCAAGAACGTGGCTTTTAGAACAACCCAACCCTGTACACATAGTAACTATAATAGTATCTAACCTGGTTTACTAACGAGGTTATATACTTTTAGAATTATAGCCTTGAAGCTGATCTTAGAATTCAAAAACAAACCAATCCCTCGCTTTTTCTCAACTCATCATATTCAAGCGCCACTCTCGCATACTCGTCTTTCACCGATTTTTTCTCTTCGGAGCTTGGCCGAAATTCGCCCTAGAAAAACAAAGTAAAGTAAGGGATGGCAAAGAATGATCTCCGCGAAGGGGATTGAACCCTGAACCTTGCTCCCTTCCCGGGCAGATGCTCTAACCACTGAGCCAGCCAGGTATTTGCTTGCTCGCTAGGGAAGAAAAAGGGAATACAAGGTAAAAGAGAAGGAAAATGCCCGGCTCTTCACAACCGTGGGAACTTAAAGATCAGAACACGGGCATTAGTAATAAATTCAAGTGAAAGAATCCTTTAAATTCAAATTGATTGAGAGCAAACTTGTGGCAAGTCCTCGTCATCGCTACTCAATTGTTCCCTTTTCTTCGTCGGCGTCGTTTTCGTCTCTTTTCCTTTTCGTTTCTTTTCCGTGCAATCATCGCTTGAAATCTCCTGGAATATTGTTGAAGTCTTAAATAGTTTAAGATTCAAACGTTTTTTTAAAGATAAAAGTTCAGATTTCTATATGAAATAGAAGTTTTCAATTTCTAGATTTATGAAATAAATTCATTTATATTTTTGAGCTATCAATTAAATCTGATTGATAGTAAATAGGGGTAGTTTTTTTTGCGCAACTGGATCCTTTGCGCAAATCGCCATAACTTCCTTCTAAGTGGACCAATTTTTATGAATTTGATTTCATTTTGTTGCACTTATTGAGATCTACAAAATGAAATGAAAATCATAAAGATTGACCCACTTAGGCCCAGAAATTGGCGGATGGCTACTTTGCGCCAAATTTTTTTGCGAAAATCGTTATGATTTTGATTTCATTTTGTATTGGGTTGGGGACTATGACTCGGCGCCGAAAATCAAAAAAATGTCTAAAACTTCTATTCGACTTCGTCAAATAATATGCGTTTGATATCAGTAGAATGGCTAACTAATTCTCTACAAAACGACATTTAAAAGAAAATTCAAACAGCGCCTCCGCCAAGAAAAGCCATTTTTCACAAAAACTACAAACTGTCATCTAGAAAACATTGGTGGGTCTTCCTGCAAATTTGGCAACTTAGTAATTGATGTGCCTTCTTTTTATAACACCAAGAGGTTTTGTGAAAGAAACTGCTCAAATGTGGTCGGGCTCTTTGCCATTTTGCTGCTGTGTTTGGGAGTTCATAAACTCCACGAAAGAAGCTTTGTGGTCTCTCAAAAGTCATTTTGTAGAGAAATAGTGGATCCTTTTGTGAAACCAAACATATTTTAGAGGCTTTATGTGTGCAAAAAGTCCCTTTAAAGTTTGGCGCCGAGTCATAGTCCCCAACCCAATAGATCTCAATAAGTGCAACAAAATGAAATCAAAATCATAAAGATTGGTCCATTTAGAAGAAAGTTATGGCGAGTTGCGGAAATTAGCCTACCCCAGTAAATATCTTTAAAGATAAATGCAAAAATCTTTTACAATAATCTTTTAAAAGCTATTTAATCAAGAAAATTATGTTTAATGAAAATTTTCAAACTTTTGTTTCGTCTTTAACCCTTCGACGCCGTTTCTCTCTTTGTTGAAAGCTGAAATTGTTTTAGATAACTTTATTTAAAGTTATAAAAATGTAAAATAGAAGTTAGAATTATTAGAGTTAACTTGCAAAATTTTTAATTTTGAACAAACCTTGCCGGCGTTGCCTCTTCGCTACTTCCATCGGACTCGTCCTTTTCCCTAAAGCTATATATATTCATACTTTATTCAGGACATGAAATAAAGCGTAATCAGTCAGACAATACACAAATCTACACATAAATAAAAGATGAGATATTTTACTCGGCGATGTGGAGGCGGGGAGAAAAGAAGATAGATAGAAGATAGGCTTCTTGCTTTAATAACCTCAAGCCATGAATGGGCCAACCCAGTGGAAGAGTGAACTCCGCTAGAGAAGGGATCTCTAGTCAGCTCTAGAGAAGAGACCTCTAGTCTGGGCGCACGGGCTAGGGAAGAGAACCCTAGGGGGGCCGAACCCCACACCCTCAGTTTGGAAGTGAGAACTTAACCAATACACCATGAGGGCCCTCTACACCATGAGGGCCCTCAATGTTATTAAAAATACTAAAACATACAAAAAATTATATTCTAATACTTTAGATCAGTGGGTGTACTGTAAAATTGCATTATTGCAGTAATTGTACTGTAAAATTGCACTATTGCAGTAATAAAAATTCTGAAAAATTGATTTTAGAGAGATTGAATTGAAAAAAAAAAGCTTTTGAGGAAGATTTAGCTGAGAATTGTTACCCCGGGGTTTTCAGGGATGACGGATCCTAATCCGGCATTCGTTTTTCAAAGTAACCTACTGTAAAGCTAAGTTTTCAGCCGTAAAAATAGTTTCAGCTGTATAAATACGGTGTAAAAGGACTATGAAATGGTTTCATTTTGAAGGTTTTCACAACAGAAACAGATTTAAATAGCAGATTTTTTTTCGAAAAACCTTATCTTCCTAGGTCGTTTTGGTGTCGTTATTGGCTGAGCGCTTTGTTGAATCGATCTTCTCGTCCTTTTTACAGGACTTTCACTGTTCGAAGAGGATCGAAGCGAGCGACGCGTTCGCAATTCGCTCATCACTGAAAATATAGTAAAGAAATGAAGGAATTGGCAAGAAAAGTCGATTTTTGGAGAGGAGAGTGAAACCTCGATTTATAGTTTTGAAAGATTAATAGATTAACTGTAAAAAGTAAGATTCTTTTATGAATTGAGCATTCAATTGACCGCCTTTTGGGATTATAGTTTGTAGTCTTTCTCTTTCCCCCCTCTTTTCTTTTTAGTGTCTTTTAGGTAAAATGGAATTGGTGAGATCTCAAGGAGACTTTTTAAGCCCTTGACGGACTTTTTTTTTGAGAATTTCAAGGGATTTACTAAGCTTTCTATAGACAATTGTTGCTTAAGATCCCAGTGAATAAACTTCAAGCGAATTGGAGCATTAAAAGCTGAGAAAAAGTCGAATTGAGTTAAGTTAATCGAAAAAAAATGATTTTATTAGTTTCTTAACGATTTATGAAAGAATGTTAAGAAATTCAAGTTCTTTTACATGCAAAAAAAAGATTATTTAAAAATATTGGTGGAGTAAGAAGTTTCAGCCTCTACAAAAACCGCATTTCTCGTGAGTTACTTTGGGTAGCTAATGTTTTTATCAATCTTCATCATTCATCCCAAATGATCACCTCCACTTCAGGTCTTTTCCTTTGTCAGTGATAGAGAATCTGTCAAGCAGGTTGTAAAGCGAGAAATCAATTCTTTGCTTCAATTGGAACCATATTGGAGCCATATTGGACCAAATTGGAACCATATTGGAACCATATTGGAACCGTATTCGAACCATATTGGAACCATATTGGAATCAAATTGGAACCATATTGGAACCATATCATCGTCGATTCTTTGCTAAATCCATCTTTAAACTCTTTGAATAAGCAAGAGAAAACTGCTTTCTCAGTATTATAGCTCAAAATCAATCATCTTTCTCATTGTGTTTTTAAATTTAAAAAAAATTAGAGCCTAACTATGAGAGGTAACTAAGAGAGGTGCACCTCTCATAGTTACCTCTCATAGCCACCTAGGTGGCTTTTGAGAGTTGAGTGAAAGTTTGAGAGAGTTCTTTGAGAGAAACCTTTGCTTTTCTGATTCTGTTATGATTTTTTTTTGCCTAAACTCATCCAATTTATTCTTTAAAACATTGCACGTCCACATCAACATCAACTTTATTCGATTTAGTTGGAAAAGTTTACGGTGAAAATTTGCGGTGAAACTCTGCGGTGAAACTTTGCGGTGAAAATCCATGTGACTCATGGATCAGCCTCTTTTCCCGTTCGCTAAACACGGAAAATCAAAAATCCTAAGAGAAATCGGCAATCGGCAATAACAAAGTTAAAAGTCACTTGCAAAAGTCTCATCAAAAAGTCCATCTTTTAAACCATAAACTTTATTCAAAACAATTTCTGAAAGCTCAGCTTCACTTTCACTTTAAACGCCTCAAAAAATCAGGTTCTTCAGCTGTTCGTTAAAGTTCCCCAAAACCTCAAATCCTCAAATCCCCAAATCCGCAACGATATCCGAAAATTGGAGCCACTTCAGACTGATTCAACTCGTTCAACTCATTCAAGATATCTAGATTCTATAATTTTTACATTTTCTTTGTTTACTTTAACTTTTTACAACTTTTTACAACTTTTTACAACTTTTTACAACTTTCTAACCGAACCTCCAGAGAACCATGACCCTGGAAAAGATTAGGATGAAATGATGGTTTGAATTTGAAACGATTTTTGAATGAAATGATGTTTTCCCCTTTTCTTAACGTCAAGGTCATTGAGTCAACTTTTTTCAGAGAACTCAAACTTACTTTGCAAAACAGTTTTGTCTAGAGTTTTGCAGGCTTTATTCTCTCGAGATTCAGAAGTTGAAATCAAAACTGCAAATGCTTTAGCTTTTCACCGTTTTCTCTACTTTTCTACTCTACTACTCTACTCTAAATCTACAATCACTACAGTCAATAAGTTCATCGGTAAATCTCCAAAAAACAAGTGACTCTCCCAATCTCCAATCTTATCCTTTTTCATAACTTGTTTGCCTTCTTGAATCTCTTTACTATCTTTTCCCGGATCTTTTCTAAACGATCTTTTTTGAGGAAGATTTTGCTGAGAATTGTTACGCCGGGGTTTTCAGGGATGACGGATCCGAATCCGGCATTCGTTTTTCTTTTTCCTCTATTGCTCTAATTCTAATGTTCAAATGTTCATTTAAACATTTTACTTAAAAAAGAAAAAAATCCAGTATCAAAATGAGGCTCTGTTCACTAATTCTCCTATTCATTCTACCCACAAATCACCAAATCGATGCTCAATTCGCGAGTCGAGATTTCCTCTACCAACAGGTACATCAAAAATACGATTATTTTTCATTTCATGCAATTTTATGCATTATTTTTGATTCGTTAACAATAAATAAAAAAATCAAAAAGCTCATAGCTGTATCATTTCCCTCTCATTTCCCCCTAAAAACCAAATTCAGAATCCACAGATCCGAAGTGACTATTATCTAGCCGAGACGCAAGACCCAGTGGATGTAAGTGTTAAAACTTTTCTTTTTTTAAAATCTCACCTTAGGCCCGTTTTCGTGTGCTCGAATCACAAGTGCAAGCGTTAACGAAACGAGTTACAACTCTTGAAGTCCAGGTTTTTTTTTTAAAATCCTACAACAACACCATCTAACTTTAGCTCCGCGATCTTCAGCTCGCCGTGCACGACGATTGGACAAAAACCGATTCGGGCAGCAAATACAAAATATTCGATACGCAAAAGAATTGGGATGAGGCCATGGTTGGGTTGTGGGAAAAAAATTTTCGCTTTCGTTTTACAAATTTAAAAACTTGTTGACTAAGCGTGTCCTTTTAACGTTTTCTAAAAGATGGGGAAAGTTAGTTTATTCTCTCCTTCAGATTTTGCCAGTTTTACTTAATTTTGATCCCGGATCAATTCACATTTTTGTTCTCTCATCCGAATGGAAAGGGTTACGGTAGCTTTTCTAAATGGACACCTTTTAGGAAACACATTTTCTGAGCCATTTCCATTTTTCTTATCGATATCTCATTTTCCAGAGCACTTGTAAATCGTATAACGCGCATTTAGCCATGATCAACAATGAGGATAAGAATAATTTCCTTAGAGGTCGGTGGTCTCAAGTTTAGACATTTGCAAAAGTTTTAGAATTGATGCGAAACACCACAAACAATGTTGATTTTGCATGGATCGGCATGAGAACGAGGGTAGGAAAACGGACAACTAAAAAAAAATACAAAAAATTCTCAGGCAGAGATGGCCTCCCAGCCAGCCATCTACAGTAATTTCGAGTCGAACACACAGGTTGGTGGGAAGTAAACTAAGCATTTTAAAAACCTGTCGTATTTTTATGCAAATCTCCCACAGGTCTCCGGTTGCGCCGTCATAGATCGATCGGGAATTTGGGCAATTCGCAGTTGCACCCAATTGCGTCCATTCGTCTGCCAACAAGTCAATGTCGTCTAAATCCCGCTTGCTAATAAATATTTATGTAAACTTGTTCAACTTGTAGCAAAAATTTGCATCTCAATGATAATCATACATAGAAAATTTCGTCTAAATGAAGAGCACAGCTAATATCGACAAGGCCATAAAATAAAGGCATTGTTTCAAAAATCAGGAGAAAGGCAATCGTATTTGAGCTACAAAGAGAAAAAAATAAGAGCACATGGATATACACCGTTTTTCCTCGGGTAAAACGGAGGAGATTTTGGTAAAAAATGATTGCAACATAGAAATGACTCCTAAATGTCGATCACTAAAGGGTAGAACTTGTAAAAAGTAACAACAAATCACACGGCAAACACTCCTAGAAACTGTTCTAAAGCTACGAAACAATGAGCTATCAACAGAAGATAAAATTGGGTTCTTCCCTCCTACTTTTTACGCCTACTTTGTCACCGTCTCGAATCGGGGCAAGAAGAGACCGAATTTGTGCTCGATTCCCGAGAATGTTGCCGCAGCAAGCTAAAATCGAAGTTAAACTTGAAAAGTTGTCATTGAAAATCACAAGAATGCTTCTCAAAGCCCTTTATAGGATAATTGGCACAAACTTTATATCCTCCAATGTGATCCGGGTTCAGGGAAAGCTCATCGGTTAATGTTTTCTGCGTGGCACTCTAAAAGAATAACATAAGATTTTGCACACAAGAAGCTAGGTATGAATTAAGTTCTTGCAAAGTCATATTGCCGAAGTTTTCAAATGAAAACCTCAGATCCAGTTGGGCGATGTCCACCAAAGTCGACGTAGAATAACCGTTGCAAAACCTCGTAGGCCAACAGGGTGACAGCGAATTGAGGGGATGAACGGCAAACCTGGAAGCAAGATCGTAAAATAAAATATAGTAAACGCAATGTTGCTCACCCTAGCAGCTGTTCCTTTCCAAAAGGCGCGTGGTCCCTCTTCCTTCATGATTTTACGGGCACAATCTAAATAGTAATGGCATAGCTGTTTTTACAGAAAATGCTACCAATAACTCCATTATACGTAGTTTGTCCGGCTCTGGCAGCTACTTGAAGTCGAGTCTTGATCACATCGGCTGGTGTCACCAAACCTGAGAAATAAAATTTATTATTTGTTTGAAAATGAAAGTCAAACCAGCAGCCGGCACACCAGCGATAAATGCAGAACAAAACAAGGATGCGGGGCTGTTGATGCCCTAGAAGCAGATAGACGTAATTTTTATTAAACCTAACGATTTAAAATTTATACTTACATCAGAGTCAGCAGTGGCCAACTTTGCATGCGCGTAAGCAGGGAAATAAATTGCCGAGAAGGGAATATCTCTAAAGAATGAAAAGATAGTCGATTCGTCAGCTTTGAGTTTTTAAATCTCGACGCTATATAGAATTAACGACTCAAAAAATACCTCAAAAAGCATGCGCGAGCGCCCTTGTAAAGTCCCATGAAGCCCAGCTCACGAAGCACGGTAAAGACCCCAATCTTTAGTTGCAATTCAATCCTTTACTACTTCGAAAACTCACCCTTTGGGCAGGATTTTGGATTTCACCGGCAACTTGGAGTCGAATTTTTACAATCTCGAGCGGATTCGTGAAGACAACCTAAACAAGATATATAAATGACATATAGATTCTTTACCTGTGAAGCACCTCCACAGGCTCCGGCAAGAATCTCTCCGTGCAGTGGGATATGACCCTTGTCGGTGAATTTGTCGCGCATAAAATCGTTCATAGTCAGCTAAAACACGATTATAATTTTGGAAACATCAACGTATTTTAGTAGATGAGTTATTTTCCCTTCGTTCAGACATTATTGTTGAATTGCACAAACAGTTTTAGATCAGACAAACCTTTATAGCTTTCTCTGGTGCTACTCCAACAATTTGAGGCACAAGTCCACGATAAAGTCCGAGAAGACCTAAAACATTACAAATGTTTTAGGTCTTCAAAAGTTATAAGAAAGAAAAGAGTCACCTTCAAATTTCACCACTTTCTTGAAGCAATCGAAGCTATTTTTGTACATGACCTAAAATAAAGCTTTACTTGAGGTAAACTTCAAGAAATCACCTCTCCAATGAAGGAACCCGTTCTTTGATTTTGCATTCTTGTCTTCACCAAATCAATCGGATAAACAGCCGTCGCTCCACAAGCACCAGCAATTGAACCCATCAGGAAACGATAGGCCGATTCGAGCACCTAAACATTTTATTTTTCAAAGTTTCAAAGTCAAAGTGCCATAAGTCATATTACGTTTTTTATATCTTTTAAACATACCGCTGTGCCCACACCACGTTGATCCTTGCTTTCGACAGCCTTGATGTTGACGAGTCGTTCCACTTGAGAATGACGCTTTAATCGCTCGGGATCAATTCGCTCTAAAAATATCTATTTGTATATTTACTGCCAAAAGATACCAATATCCAGCAGTGACAAGGACTTGATGCCGGGATGTGCCAATTCGGAGAGGTGGAAGAGAATTTCAACCTAAAACTGTTTAGTTAATCAACAATTACAAATTACCTCATAGGGTGTGATTTGGGCGTAACTTTGAGTGGCAAGTAGGAACTCCTCTTTTGTCATTTCAAGCTCGATGTTACCCCGGCAATACGACAAATACCTAAATAATCATGCTTTTAAAATTATACCAAGATTAACAGTCATCAGTTACTTGGAACGATTACTTACACTCTTTTGATCAGCTCCATTTTCGCCAGCAAACTATTGAATGCAGCATAGTACGGGAAAGAGACCTAAATTAAAACTATTACAACTGTAAATGAAACTTGTACAGGGATAGATTCAAGCAACTACACAATTTCAGCAAGAAGGGGTATGTTAATAAACAAAGGTTTAATTGACGGTTTTCAGGAAAACCCACACGCATGCCGCTCACTCCAAATTGAAACTAAACAGGTTTTATCTTAAAAAGGTTACACAAGTTAGAAATTTTAAGATCCGGGGCTCAACAACAGTACAAACACTAAAACAAACAATTTGAGTGACTCAGTACCTTGCCCTGAAGCGTAGTTAACAAGCAAGATGTAAATTTCAGACCTTATGTCCAACAGCTCCACCACCGGAAACGGCGATGAGGTTGTTCCGAACGAAATCCGTTAGTAAATGGCCTTTCACAGTGGTCATGATTTGTTGAAAATCGATTGATGAAATTGTTCCATCACCGACTTTGTCAAATCTAATAAAAAATGTGGTTAAGCAAAATTAAATGGCACTACTTCTTGAAGGCTTGAATTCCTTGCTCTTCATAGAAATCGTGTAGCAACTGACAAAAAGCATAGTAACCAATCGATCTTGTCTTATCTCTGAAAACGTTTAATTGTTATTTTTTTGATAAAGTAATCTTAAGAATTCTTACACGAATTAACCCACTTGCCAAAATACTTCTTGATAAAATCCGAATCAAAATCAAAGTCCATATCGTGGAGAGGCATCGTGTGACTAAAATAGCTTTAAATTTACACTTACTACGAACAATACCTGATAATGGCTTTAAACTCATCACAAGTAATCGAATCCGATGAGTTTTTGTCGAATAACTCAAAAGCAGTCAAGTACAAAGCATCAGGACTAAAAATTTGACTCTTAAATGAGAAAATCTTTAAAACCTGCAAAGGATGGCTTCAAAGGCGCAAAATTCCTCAAACGATATGTCCCCATCTTTCGTTGTGTCAGCGGCTGAGGCAAGTAGTCGAACCGTTTCCTCATTGAAATTTTCCTCTGTGTACAAGCCAAGAAACCTGGAAATAAACGTTTCAGTAAAAAAAAAATTATTATTTGAAACATTCAGAGCCAACTCAACTATAGTGACTTGGTAATGAAAATACCTAACTATCACTATCAGTGAAACTTAACAAACCTTCGAATAAAATCCTCTGATGTCATGAATTTCTTTCCATTCCGATTCGTGCTAGCGTACTTCTCGAAAATTGGCCTAAAGTCGGAAAATCTTAAACGTTAGTTGACAAATCAAGAAGATCAATTAACAAACTTTTGCTTACCTAAGATGCTCAGGATTTGCTCGTGGTATGTATCCGCGTTGAGCGAGTGCCGTTTCCACGTGACATTTCGCAAACCTCAATCCAGGCACATAAGAAAACTAAAAAATATTAAAGTTAATGTTCGGTATTTCCCAAATTAATCACCCTATCGTTTTTCGGCAAAATATCGCGTACAAGTCGGCTCCGTTGCCTCGAATCGAGAACATGGTCGAAAGAAGGAGCTGCGGAAGCCATTCAAATGCGAAAAAATCCCTAAAACTTAATTTGGAAGCTTTCCCAAAATTTAATATTGAAATTGTGTAAAAAAAGTAAAACTCACTCAATTTCGTTGTCGTTTTGTGTAGTGAAGGATAGAGGTCCGATGAGCCTAAAAATCATCGGTTATCATTTTGAATTTGAAAAAAGTGAAAGCAAAATGAACAAATTTCTAAAATTCAAACTGTTCCCCAAGGAAAAGCAAATCGCGATCAATATTAGTATGTGTGCCATCTTGTTCACACACATGAAAGAGAGAAACGGGATGCCAAAGAGGGGTCACAAAAATGTATTTTTTTCCCTCTTTTCATTTTTCCTCAAAGAGGTGAGTCTACTCAAGAAAAGTCAGGGCAAAATGAGAAAAAAATCGTGAGAGAAAAAGAGAAAGTGGGTCGCTTTTGAAAAAGAGAGGCCCACCCGAAACTTTTTGCTCTGGAAAAAACTATTCGATTTTTCTATTTCATTTCTAAATCTTGCTACAAAAGTACAAGTTATGGTCAAAAAAACTCTAGCCTATTTTGCCACCAATCACACAATTTTTTTGTTAGACAATGGATTTCCTCTTCCTGATAAAAAAAACAATGCAAAGATAGAAAAAGAGTCATTCATTTTTCCGCGATGCTCTCTTATCTCTTTTTGAGAGTCGGCAATTTTTAACCACACGTAATCGAGAAGCTTAAACAATGATTTTCTTTGTTGGGAGGAATGTTCAATATTAAATTTGGAAAAGCTTCAATTTTAACCGAATTATACTCAAAATTGAGCTCAAAAAGCCAACTGTCAGGCTTAGGTGATCATCGAATCTCGAAGAGGATTTGGCAGAGAAATGCGAAAGAGCCCAAAATTTGGGATATGCCGAGAGAAAGTGAGCGAATTTGATGAGAGAAGAGAACCCCGATAGAGACCGAAAGAAATCATCAAAAAAGACCGAAAAGAAAGCGATGCCACGCATGGAGCACGTGAACACTTGGTTGAACTGCCCTTATCCCTGGATCCTTACCAATTGGATTTTAAAAATGTTAGCTTCTCATATCTAACTTTTTCGCCCTTCACGCCAGGTATTCTACCGTAAAAAGTCTAATAGAAACACCACCTATAGGAGCGTCGCGTAGTCTAAGTTTACCCTCAAACAAAGGCTCATCTCAGCACCAGTACGTTTGTTCCTGCGCGCTTGGGTTTTAAATTAAAGTAGAGGGTGAGTTATTTTTTGAGATATAACACTTATTTTTAGCATTAACCAGCGCTTAGAAACAAATGATTGAAAAATGGCAAAAAAAAGTCGATTTTTCATCACTTTTTAACCATTTTGCTCTAAGAGCTGGTTAATGCTAAAAATGTGTTATATTTCAAAAAATCACCCATCCTCTACTCTAATTTGATGCCCAAGCGCGCAGAAACAAATGTCTGGGCGCCGAGATATGAGCATTTTTTTTGAGTGTAAACTTAGACTACGCGACGCTCCTATAGGGGTGCTTCTATTAGAGCTTTTACGGTATGCAGGTATGAAAATCTCTTGTCATTAGCGTCACCTGAATTTTTTAAAAAGAATATTTATTCAGAAAGCAGCAACAAGACAAACATTTTTGATTGAAAACTAAAATATAATTAATGGGGAAATGGTGAACATTGTTAGACATAGTTAATCTTAGAAGGTTACAATCTGAAAGAACGAAAAACCAATAAAGACTGTGTTGTGATCACAGATCCTAAAAACAAAAATATCAAATTTAGAGCTCCTGAGGTTGAGAAGCAACTCGTAGATTGCTCATCGAAGGCAGCATTGATGATGTGGCCGATTTGTAGATCTATATAGCAGATTTAAATCATTTTTACGCCACCATTAAAATTACCTTGCTGAAAGACTTGGACATCAACCTTTCCACCATTCCTTCGGCGTATAGTAGCCGTTTACGAAGTTCGGCTCCACAACCCTTGCTAAATCAAAAACTATTTAGTAATTTATCTCAAAAGTACCTTTGTAGCAATGACAATTTGTAAGTTCTGAATTCTTTCTTTTCGTCAATGTAAGTAACAGAACCCAGCAGAGGACATAGGATGATTTTCGTGTGATCCTAAATTTTTTGATCAAATTAGAGAAAAAAGCCGTACGATAAAGAAGTTGATTTGCAAAGTCCCATTTGCCAAGTGAAGCACGATAGCTGATTTAGTCCTGAACCAAGCAAGTAGACAAGGAAGTCGAGCAAGTTCATCTCCAGCCTAAAAAATTTAATTAAACACGAAAAAACAACTAAACAAACCTTTGCAAACTTTTCGCCAGCCATAATGAGGTGCTCATTCATGTACGTTCGGAAATATTTCAGAAGAGTAACTTTCTTGTCCAAAAGATTGGGGAATTGGGTAAAAGTGTAGTATTCTTCTCGGCTTTCCTTATCCACATATTGCATATTCACTCCAGCTGCATCAAGAACCAACTTTGAAGCATCGTTGAACAAAACTCCGACCTAAAACAAACATAAAATAGGTACTGAAATCTTTTCGAAAGCTCAGCTAGTCTATGTAATTTTTACCGAGTTGTCACAAAGTTGGTATCCAATTCCGTATTTGTCCGAATAGTCGACCCATTTGCTAATCCAGAAAACAGGTAGACACTCGGGAGCCTCGGCCTCATCCTCAGTTGCACACATAGCTCTGAAAAGCGTATAATAATTTAATTACTATTGCCAAAAGATACCTGTCATTCTTTGATTTAGTGACGGCAACAAGTTGTTGATACAGGCTCTTGGTGTAATATTCTGGTGTATGAAGATTATCGTGTGGAAGTTCAATCTGCCTCATCTGAGTTGGCACAGCGGAATTTTCTGGCACTAAAAAGACTGTTTCCTTCATTTCGATTTTAAATTTACCGGAGTGAAGTGGACGCCCAGGTGATTGCATAATTTCATCGCGCACTATTTGACGGGCAGAAAGAGCTTTGCTTGGTGATGGCACACGGCGCATCGACATTTCAGCAACCTGAAGCTCAAAGTTAATCTCGAATTATGATACCCAATGGAAAACATTATAATCTTACATGTGAATCAAACTTGGGTGCCATCGTGAGACACGAGGTTGGAAGGCGAACAGGCATGTATCCATTTCGGAAGAACTCATACTAAAATGCGTCGGATAAAGAAATTTTTGCAAAATCTTACCGATTTCACTTGGGAAATTTTTGGTCGTCTTGTTGGCTCAGCAGCTAGAAGGTCTCGGATGAGCTTCACTGCATCGTTATTTAGATTCTGCGGAATCTTGTATTGATTCGTCTTGATGCGCTGGTATGTTTCCTTTAGCGAAGAAGTTTCGAATGGGGGACGTCCGACGAGGAGTGTGTATACGATGCATCCGACTGCCCATACGTCAACCTCATACGAATGACCCTTTTTCTCCAGCACTTCGGCTAAAGAGTGATTATTAAGCAAATACATAAATCTCCCAGTTAGACTGTTCATTTTTTAAAATAGAATGTAAAAATTTACGAGCAATGTAATTTGGAGTTCCACAAAGCGTTTTCTTTCTCTCGCCATCATGTTCCACGGTTGTAGCCAAACCAAAGTCCCCGAGTTTCACCTAGATTTGGAGAAGTTAGCAAAACCTGAAATATAAAACCTGCATGTCCTCGTTCAAGAAAATGTTTCCTAGCTTCAAATCTCGGTGAATGACACGGGCTCTATGCAAATACTCAACACCGTCCGCGACTTGATGCGTAAGATAACGGGCTTCAGGTTCCGAAATTGCTCCACGACGTTTGTGCAGCTCCATCAAAGATCTTCTTGGGCAAAGCTCGAGCAACACATAGCTAAACAGGAACAGATAGCTTCATAACAACAACAAAAAACTCACACATTATCGCTATCTTCAAAGAAACCATGCAAGCGAACAATATGTGCATGGTTAAGACCACGATGAATCGTTATTTCCTGAGCCATCTAAAAAGACGGAAAATCATTTACCACAAAACCAAAGATTGCCTTGTCCTTTTGATATTGTTTAACCAGAAGGCTCTTCGAGACAATCTTGCCGGCAAGGACCGTGTTCGTCCTCGTGTCAACCAATTCATAGCATCTAAAGAAGACAAATTAAAGTATCTAGACTCCAAACTTGTATCTAGGCTTCAAAAATTACCTGGCAAAACCGCCTTTTCCCAAGAATCGTCCTCGTTTGTACAGATTCCCCCTATCATCGCGGACCGCTTCTGGGACTTCTTTCAAAATTGGCTTCTTTGCCGGCACCGGGTTAGCCATCCTAAACATAAATAAGTTAGATTGAGCATGAAAACGCGGGAGAAAAACAGGAAACTTTGTGAGAAAAAGCTTGCAAAGATAATACACAAAAGATGTTCAGTTGAGATCGATTTCTTTGTCAGTTTTAATTCTAAAAAACTAATGATGAAAAAAATGGTAAATGTTTGGGAAGAGAAGAGTTTGAATTTTAAAGAAATTTCCGTCGCGCCATTTATTACGGTGGTACATAGGAGTGTGACGTTGCTGCTTGTGCAGAAAAAGGAAAGGCTCCTCTTTATTTCGTTGCTTGCTCCCTTCTTTAGTTATTTGTTGTATAAATCGGGCATTGTTTCAATTCAATTCATTATTTGAGGCGTGAAAATGGAAGGCCAAAGGCCGAACAATTAAACTTGTGGGAATTAGTGATAAAACTTCATACGCATTAAAATCAATAACTAAAACAATCTTTATTAACCTTTATTCAATTAACAACAAATAAAACATATAACAAACGGTAACAATAACAACTTTGTTTGGCTACGAATTCGCGGCTGTCGCTTGAAGTTTCAATCCGCCTGAAAATTCAATACAAACATTCGAATCATGGTATTAACCTGTTGTGTATAGTAGCTTCATTCTCTCGTATCTTTTCTTGTCTGCTTCGGATACAGACGGTCGTATCTTGATGAGGGCTTTTTGGAAGTGAGTCTCGTTAACCGAATCTACGTCTGAAAAGGAACTTTACGAGTTAATGAAAAGCACAAGCAAACCATTTTTATTTTCGAAGAGACGTTCTTTAAGGGCGATAATGCCGGCCTCATGAATGAGAGCACTCAAATCAGCTCCAGTAAACCTAAAAAGGAATTAAATAAACCTGAATTAACTCCAACCCATCCAAGGTCGATGAACAAGCAAATGCATCCATATTGAAATCTTGCGCGATGTGTGGTCGAGTGCCATTCTAAAAAGAATTGTGAAAAAGCTGAAAATAAATGATATACCTTTGTTGACTTTCGAAGAATATCTGCTCGATCCGGTCCTGAAGGAAAATCGACAAAAAGGATTTTATCAAGACGTCCGGGTCGGAGCACTGCTGGGTCAACGATATCTAAACGAAACGGTTAAGTAGCTCATGTATTTTTTTACCAGGTCTATTTGTGGCGCCAATCAGAAAGACTTGTTTGCGAGCTTCGACACCGTCCATTTCAGTGAGAAGTTGATTAACAAGCCTGGATCCACCCGACGACTAAATAAAGCTATTTTTTTTTAAAATCAGCCAATACCTCATTATGACTTCGCTTAGGACAAAGAGCATCGATTTCATCAAAGAAAATCACACAAGGCGATGAGTCCCTTGCTCGGCTGAACACAGTTCGCACGGCTCGCTCGCTCTCACCGACGTACTAAATTTAAAACTTTGCTATAAGACTGTTTAAAACATACCATATTTAGTAGCTCGGGCCCTTTTACTGATATAAAATTCATCCCCGTTTCGTTTGCGACAGCTTTCGCGAGTAACGTTTTTCCACAACCGGGCGGCCCGCAGAGCAAAATGCCTAAAAATGTGTTTCAGGTTGAGAGGAAACTTTCTAAAACCTTGTGGTTTGCTTGATATTCCAAGCAACGCAAAATCTTCGGGCCTTTTTATCGGATACTAAATTTTGTGATTAATTTCTCCAATGAGTTATTTTACTAGAATGTTCCATTCAAGTTCTTGTCGGACATCTTGTAGCGCTCCAATTTCCTCCCAAGATACATCGGGCACCGTCGCAAAACCTTCGCGTTTTGCGCTTGGTTGAACCGATTGCAAAGCTCTACACAATAGGTTTACAAGTTTTTTTAGATTAACCAAAACCTCTCAAAATCTGCCATTGTGACACTGAAGCCGCCCAAGCTTGTGATCGTAGAAGGATCGTCATCAGAAACAAGCCATGCCAAAACCTACAAAATACGTCATTAGATAATCGTCTCTTAAAAAACCTTTTGCAGCTCTTCCTCAATCTCGGCGTTCGTCATTTGTTTTTGTTTCGGATTGTGATGCACCATGGTATCGAATATTCTAAAAATATAAAATTAAAGATTCAATCAACACATTACCTAGACACAGCGCATTTGGCAGCGACAGTGATGAGAGCTTTTAGATCCGCTCCAACATAACCCGGAGTTAAACGAGCCAACATCCGATAACTGATCGAAGCGTCCAAGGGTAATCTAATGTTAATCTTGGGTTTTACATAATTAGTTGTAAAACTTGCTTGCAAATAGTTGCCAGTATTTTCTCCCGAGCGTCTTCGTCCGGAATGCCAAGTGCGATCTGCAATAAAGATGCTGAACACAACTTTTAAATTATGTATTTGCCTCCGAATCGAATCGCCCAGCCCTCCTCAGACCGTTGTCCAGTGCATCCGCTCGTGATGTTGTCCCAATGACCAACACTCGATGATCGTCTAAAGAAAAAAATATCTACCTAGGCAATTAAATTGAAATGCTTACCAATAGGCGGTTCGTTATCGATCTGAATTTCTCCATTCGCCGAAAAATTGATTTTGTCTTCGAGTGGCTTTTCTTTTGGGGATAAAAACAGCTCTAAAGATTTATAAATTAGAGAATAGAAATCATTTCACTTAACCATCCAAGCAATTGCACAATTGTGTGACAACACGTCTTTCCATTTCTCGGCTAGCCGTTTCTCGTCGAGGAGCAATCGAGTCAATATCGTCAATAATCTAAATTACAGTTGTCTAGGCATTACTTTCAAATGCATACTAGAACACAAGGAGCGTGACGCTTTGTGGCTTCAAAAAGTTGTCGCAACTTTTCCTCGGTTTCTCCACTTACACCGGAAACCAATTCCGTAGCGGCGAGTTGAAACATTGGTAAATTGAATTCGCCAGCAATCGCCTAAATATAATATTGGCAAAATACAAAAATAAACGTTGGTAGTACTTGAGCGAACATTGTTTTTCCGCAACCCGGTGGACCATGAACAAGAAATCCTTTTGGTGGTTCAACACCCAACATCGAAAAAGTTCGCGGTCGTCGCATGTGCATCGCCAGCCGACAGACTTCCTGAATCAAAAATGCTATGAAAATGAGGAAAAGTTCCCAACCAGAAATTGCCTATTACAGCCACCCAAATGTTGAAAGCTTATTTCCGACTTCTTTGGAAGAAATTCGATAGAAACCGCTCCTAAACCTAAAATCGCAAACATTTTTTGTACAAAAAACGGCAAGCACCTCGAGGTTTTGCTAGAGACGCTGCATTAACCGGCTTTCCGTTTATTGTCGCTTTCTTTGGCCGATCTTTCGAATTAGACGACAATGGGGTGCCTGGAAAAACTCTTTAAGATAAAAACTTTAAAACTAACCTGCGTTACTAGCACCGCTAGCATACAAATTTGTGATCGACTTGTTGGCTCGATTTGTTTTCGGATAGGTAACATATTTGTCCATGTCGGGATCATTCTCATCACTGTCAAGAACCACATCTTGTGTCCGGGCAGACTTTGACTTGCTAAAATTTATGAAATTTTTGGATTTATTTTGCAAGTAACCTCAATTTTCGCTTTCGATGGTCTCGTGGAGTCGTTTCAGCAATCACTTTAATGTCCTCCTCGTCTTTTTCATTTACTCCCAACTTATCGAACGCTTCAGCCACCATCCGAACAAAGGGCTTCTGTTTCTTGCGGCCGTAATCACTAAAACGGAAATAAATTTTTGTAATCAACAGGACGAATCATTATTTAACGACACTTACGGATATTTTTGCATCAGCCCTTGTGCCACTTCTTCCGGGTCGACCGTTGAATCACTGGTGTGATTTTCTAGCTGCTAAACTTTTTAGTATATGTACATAGTCAAATTTTTCTGGTATTCAACCTCTTTGAGTCTCGCCAAAAACTTGGGATCTCCTCCAAAACTCATCTTGTCATAAAGTATCTGAAAAAGAGTGTTGAACATCTCGTTGAACTTGTTAATTCGTACTAAGAAAGGTCTTTGGCAGTGGCTGAATAGACAGCTAGCAGTTTAGACTCTTTCATCAAAAAGTGTTCTTTCAAATTGGTTGTAGTTCAACATTGGATTTTGAAATCTGACGCCAAGCAAAAATAGCAAGGTAATATCTCAAAGTTGACTACATTGCTTATTGAACGCACTCTTAAAGCAATAGTACGTAAAAATTTATTCAAGGTCAAAAACACCACGCAGCAGACAAGACAATTAATTTCCTAAAGGCAATAAAACCAAGAAACACAAGCGATAGTAATAAATAGAATACCCATAAACAAAGCTCTTAATATGTATGCGCTATCAAAAAATCTTCCGAAATTCGTAATTTATTTTGCTCCAATCGGTATTCCAAACTTCTTGCACAAGTCCTCCATAGTTTCGGTTGACTAAATACAAAGAATTTTTAATACAAAACTAAAAACTTACTTCTTCTGCTGTTAATCGAGGGAATCCAAGTAACAACACGTCGATTTCGAGTTCCGTATGCCCAATCTCACGAGCCAAGTTGACGAAACGATTTGCTAACTAAATGAAAAGTACGCCATTGCCTTGATTTACCTAATTGATTTCTAGATTATTATTAAAGCATACTTACCACATTTGCTCGTGTCTCGAAAATAGCTCGTTCGTTTCTCCATTCTGCACGTTGTTCAGCCTCGCTACCACGTATTGGATTGGGCTGGAACCAATCAAGTCGAACTTCGTCATCTTTCATCTTCATCGCTTCATCAAAAACGACCTTGAGTTGCTTCTCGAGGCTGTCTTTTTGAGCATAATGATCGAGGGAGATTCGGCCATAGACCTAAAAATTTACTGGTAATGTATCCAAAAGAACTAATTTACTTCGTTGGGCACACGCAAGTTACCACTTCGAGAACCGAGAGCAGCCTTTTCTGCCTAAATTAGAAACTTGAGCTAGTCAAATAAAAGATTCGTTACCTCTAGACGACGAAGATCTACAGTGGCATAACGCAGTTGTTGTTGCAAATCGACCACTTGCTGTTGCATGTACACAAATTCAGCTGAAGAAGCGGCGAATGGCGTGAACGAACTAGGACTTGACGATCCAGCGGCTGGCATAGCATAGCTCTTGACTCCCTAAGAAACAACCGTCAGAGTTATAGTTGCAAACCAGAAACCTGGATTAGCGCTGTGCGACTCATTGCTTTGGCCCTGTTGTGGAGCTCGCTCATATCCTTATGAAGAGTCTCAACCTCTTGATTCAAGTTCATGATTGTTTGATCCAATTCACTAAAACACAGTATTTACTGATTAAAATTAAAAACTTACGCTTCTCTTCGCTTTGAATCTGCCGACAATTGCTCGTATTTTTGCTCCCAATGCTGTGCCTTGACCCCCTCAACCTTGCCGGAATTTTCGACTCGTTTCTCAGCCATTTCAAGCCGCAACTAAAATGTTATGATTGAAATGTAAGAAAAATCTTTAAACCTTGTAGTTGCTCAGATCATCGATTCGGGCTTTCAGTGTTCGCTTCAACTCATTGATCTCGTTCTCTTTTTTCTCGATTTGCCATTTGAGCCCTTCCGCATCCACTGCTGCCTAAAAAGACTGCCGTATTTTCTTTTCGAAATCACATTTCATAGCGTAAAACATAACTACGTTTTAGATAGATAAATGCTGCACCTGTCGTCGCAACATTGCCCTTTCGATAACTGGCGATGAGTGAATCTTCTTCTCTTCAATCGCATCTTCCATGGCACCCGACTCCAGTTTCTTCTTGATGTCGGTAATAGCATCTCCGATCATCACAATCCATCGGCTAAATTTGTCATTAAAAGAATACAGTCTCAAACTTACTTGATTGGGTCAAAGGCTTTATCGAGGGCAATCGATCCATGCACTTTTTCGACAACAGCATGAAGCATTTCTTTTAATCTTGAAGAGTCAAGTCCCTTTGCCTCTAAAATCTCGAATGTAACATTAAACATTATTACTTTAGGATATCTCACCCGATATTCCTATTTGATTGCTCGCCATAGAAGTTGCTTCACTAAACACAGAACAGATGCGATCTAGACAGTGTATTGAAGAAGACACTTCGTCGATAAACTAAACCAAGCATAGGCTTATAAAAATTTTTCACAACCTCCGGGCTTAGTCGCAGAGATTTATCTTTCGGAATACAACGAGTGGCTCCAATGAGTAGTCTTCCAAACTCTTCCATCTGATGTTGATTCTTTTCGACAATCTCACGAACATCCGAATCTCCTTCTGGTAAATAAAAGAGCACCCGTTGAGCATTGACACTCCACCAAGCTATCGTAGCAGTTATCTAAAGAAACTCGTAACGTTTAGTGAGTTCATATTAAAACCTGTGCAATCGATTGTTCCACCCATTTACACGTGTCGAACGGTTGGCCGCTCAGATGCAAGGTAAACATATTCTAAACGATTTCAAACTTTAAAAAAAGAAAGTTAAATTACCGAAAACTTTGCGTGGACTTTGCTGAGACTATCTAATAAGGTATTTTCATCAAGACGGCCCTGCTTCAGGTAATCAAAGTAGACGTCAATAGTTCGCTCTTCAGCAACAACTTCTGATTGCATGTGGGCGATCTTAGCAAGCACATCCATTGAGCACTGTTCAAGGGCACTAAATAAAACATTGTTTATATCTCAAAATTCAAGTTCAAACCTTTCAAATTTAGAACAAATAACTGTGATTGCTGAGGTGATGGATCCAATGCGTTGACAATGCGCCCATTGCTCGGATTTGTGTGAAAGAAGAACATGCTCGCGCCTCATTCCACCAGGAACTCCAGGATACTAAAAATAACTTAAATCAGTATAAAATTGGGTAATTCTTACCTGCTCCAAAACCAATTTCGCTAACAATTGAGCTTTTGCTTGTACTCTGGGAAAAGCAACTGTCAAGACAACAGCATCCGAATCACCTAAAGAACCCAAGTTTTTAAAAAAACACAAAAAGAAGATACCTCCGGCTTTCGTAAAGGTATCCGGCAAAAACGCTTTGATGTAATCCATTTGTTTTCGGGCAAAATCCAACTCGATCGTCTTTAAAGAGGCATCCACAATCTAAATCACCTTTTCAATTAGATTTATTATGCAAAAATTTACCTGCGCAAATACTTTCCCTTGTGAACTTTGCAATTGGCTCATTACACCAGCAAGCTTTTTATCTTCGCCTTTTGTAGTTTCGAGAACCTCTTGATAACGCAAACCCTGATAAACAATACATCTTGGTCGTATCATAAGTGCCTACCTGGTCCTTTAGATCTTCAATTTGCTCATTAAGTTGCGCCACTTTTTCTTTGTACTTGTTGATGATCTTCACAAGTTCAGCAGCATGTTGTCCTTCTTCGGTAAGTTTCTTTTTAAGCTAAAACAGGATTTTAATTGACTTTGGAGGATGATATACTTCATGAATGTGAATATCTCGATCAGCAACATCTTGTAGAAGATCTTTCTCGGTTTGTTTTTGAGTTTCTTGCAGCTGTTGGTCCATATCATGAATCGCCTGGTAGTCTTCTAACTCTCGTTGCAGAGCCCTTAATTTTTATGTAAACTAATCAAAATAATTTAACCTACGCTTTCTCATCTTCCGCCTCCATGCTCTTTAGGGTGAGCGCTTCAACCATATTGACGGCATCTAGATTAGCATCAACTCGTTCTTGCAAATCCAACATTCGTTCATTGGCCTCGTTTGCTTGTTGCTTAGTAATTTCCAGTAAGCGCAAAAGCTCCGAGTTCCTAAATACATAATTATTAGTTTGAAAAGGCGAGTATACTCGTTGCGGAGAGCTGAGAGTTCCTTTGCATTTTCTTGTTTTTCACTGGCAAGGATTGAGTTGGCATCTCGAAGTCTAAACGGAATTTTGAAACATACTCATCATAAACGAATACTTTATGCAAGCCTGCTTCAACTTGTCGTTTTGTTCCTCAAAGCTTTTCAATTGAATGGAGTTCAAGTTATGTCCTCCTCCTTCTCCAGCCGTTGAGCGCATTTCTTCTCTTAAAATTTCGAGCTCGGTTTTGCTCAGCTCTAATGCTTGCTCCAAATCTTCAACCTATAAAAAGAGTCATTTAAGAAGCAAAACCTATTAACCACCTTGCTAGTAAGCTCGTCCACTTTCACTTCAACCATTTCTTTGTCGAGTAGTGCCATTTCGAGGTCGTTTTGATGATTATGAATAGTCTCCTGATTAGCAGCTCTCCACGCCAACAATTCAGATACTTCCTTGAGATTTAAACAATATTTCCAAGAAATTAAAAAATTACCCTCTCATTCTCCGCCAACTTTTTTTGTGCATCGTGAAGCGTTTCTCCCAATTTATGATTCTTCTTTTGTTGGCTTTCAAGTTGAAGTTGTATTTGCTCTGCATGCTGTAGCTTGGCTCGATCTTCTTGTCGCTTGATTCTAAATTAAATTAATTCTAAAATATATTTTCAACATCAAAAACCACAAATTACCTGAGAGTCTCAAGCTTTTCGTTTAAGTCTTTGTTTTCGTTGCGGAGCAATTCAACTTCAGTAGCTTCACTAACATTCTGATAAACAGGAGGTGGAGGCGCGGATGGATTCTTCTAAACCAAAAGTAAAATTATCAATAAGATTTAAATATAGGTAAAGGCTTTGATGCAAGCGAAAGATTTGTTAGACCATTTTCACCACTAAAACAAGCATAATCTCGAAAAGATAGAAAATTAGCGCACCAACGACAACGGTTTGATACAACTTAGAATAATCGTTCACCCTAACCTTGATGATAGCTGGAGGATTATTATTTTGAACACTTGTTTCCTTAAATTCAATTCGAAGGTTAGCGGAAATTTAATAAAAGTACAATTTACCTTTGTGATTTGTTGTGCCAATTCTTTGACTGTCGGTGAGGATATTTCTTGCACAGGAATGGTTTCGATTTTTTTCGATTCCTCCACAACTTCTGGAATTTCTTTCACAACGGGGCGCTTTTCACGCGGGATTTCTTTCGCAATTCTTGAAGTGGTGGCAGATGGTGGCTGTGGTGTGACAGCGGGGCTGGGCTAAATAAAAGAAACGTACTATAACCTGTAGTGGATAGCTAAATTGTACAAATCTACTTCAGTTGTAACAATAGAAAATGCAAGAAAAAGCTCACCGCAGCCATAGATCGTCGTGTAGCAGCTGTGGTGGCATCCGTTTTGCGTGCTGGAATCCCCGAGGCCGTCGGTGGTCGAATGCCCGTCGCTCTCGTCGATGTCTTTCCCGGGTCCGGCTTTTGTGACATAGCTAAAGAATAAAATGTTATACTATGCTTGTAAACCGTCAAAATAGGAAGAAAAAGAGCAAGATTGGAGGGTGTTTTCAATAAAAAAGAAAAAAGAATGACTTGTTTACAAAGTTTACCCGCAAAAGTTTACAAAATAGATGGCAGTAGATAATAGCTGAAAAATAATAAGACCCTTGTTTCAGGATTTTTCTCAAAACGCATTTTTGACATCGATTTTTTCATCATAAACCGTAATATTGTTTCTGATAGCTAAACGCCATTTTCAGTAATTTTTTAAAAGCCCCATGTAGCTTACTAACGGTATAAACACTTCATAAACGCTTTAGAAAACTTAAAAAATGGGTTGTTGTAACAAAAAAAAATTAGTGATAGGAATCAAACCATGGTGAAAGGGCTCGAGACGCGGGCATACCATCCCCTATTCGATCGCAAGCACGGAATTAAAGAAGAAACAAAAAAAAGGAAGGCGATCGATGCCAAAGTAAATGTCGATGTTGTGAACATAGCCCAAACGGTTTCGATTCACTCTGCAGCGAAGTTCTTCAAAATTGATCGGACACCACTTGACTTCAGGTGTAATCAATAAGGCTTTGACAACGGGTTCACCGCCAAGCACTTGCAGCAATCTTTTGGCGAACTCGGATTCTTCAAAAAGAAAGAACAATTATTTCTCGAATCGGCAGGATTTCAGGAATTTCGAGAACCAAATGAAAAAGAAAAGGGTAAGTTCATTGAATCCGACGTTTCGATTAAAATAAAATTAGAAGAAATAACGATAAAGTTAAAGTTAGAAGAAAAGCAAGTATCTTATAATAGATTCTCGATCTATCTGCAGGTATATCCGATTCCGGTAATTCAAAAATTTAAAAAAAAAGATTTTCAATAGAAGCCTCCTCCCCCTGGAAAAAATAAAAGACCCGGGGCTTCAATTACAGTATTTACGGTATCCAAATGCGTTTTTTAGATTCAGTATATGCATTTGACAAAAAAAAATTGTACTCAAGTATCTTGCGAAACAAACAAGTTCTCTTATGTTAGCTTTAGCAAAGGTGCAATGCAGAGTAAAAAAAGTACTTTCATTTTTACGGCCTGAAAACTTCACGCTACTGTTTACGCTGACGGAATAGAAAAATTCAAATCTCCGATCTCTGCAGAAATGGAGGAAAAGGAAACAAGAACCTTTGGATTTCTGGATTACAGTAAATATCATTGCATGGATTACAGTACCTATGCAAGGACTACGGTACCTATCTTTGTAGGGATTACGGTACTTATCCTGGCAAGGATTACGGTACTTGCCTTTGTAGAAGCTACAGCACCTACCTATACAGAGATTATAATACTTATCTTTACAGGGATTACGATACCGATACCTATTCATTGTTAGTTCATTTTTCAAAGATGATTGCTTCGAAAAGCATACTCGGGTCAACAAAGCCCTTATGCAAGTCATGAACACTATTGTCTCTTCCGAAAGATGACACCAAGAATCTACGAAGAGATGTTCGCGGATCTGAATGAAACAAAAATTTGCATGCACTCAAAAATCTGTCTTTGTTTTGATGAGCAGCTTGTAACTTTTTGGCCAATCCCCACAATTCAATTTTCTTTTCTTTTCATGGTCATTTACCGAGTCATTTGATCGATTGTACAGGTAGGTTATGCAAATATTGACTATTGGATCATAGAAGAGAGTTTGGATGATCGGAAGAGGATTAGGCTTAAAAATAGATCTAAACTGAAGTTTTGAAATCGTTTTAGGCTTAAAAGTGGATCTAAACTAAAGTTTAGAAGATTCTAAATCCATCCAGAGCCATTGTTCATGCCAGAGAATGGGTAAATCCGAAGAAAAGACAAGATTACTATAGCTTACGAAAGTTGGCACTTTTTTTAGAAGTTTTTTGAGATGAACATACTACTACAGGGACTAGTAAAGGAAAAGAAAAAGGACTTTGCTTTGTTGACTTGAAGGTTGACTTTGAAACTTGACTTTCCCGGGCTTGATATTTTTGAAGTTAAACTGTGAATAAAACTTGTTGAAAGTTGCGCCATTCTACAGAGTTACCTTCTTCACAACAATCTTTCATTAATGCCATTCACTCGTGGGCATTCCCTCTAATAGAAATAGGTGAGAAACGTGACAAGTACAGGTGTGAAAACGGGCGTTTTCTCTTCTTTTCCTTTTTCGAATTCATTCAATTCATTCAATTCATTACCCTTTTTCCTCTTTATTTACCTCTCTTGTTTAACGAAATCTGAAAAGGAAAATTTGCATAAATGAGTACAATGAATGACAAGGTGAATTGGAATCGTTATTCGTTTTTTTTATGTAAAACCTTTATGCTCTTTTACTTGTAAGTTCAACCGTTTTAAGCCTTACGAGATTATGGTAGCTTTTGGAAGTTGACAAGTTTTAGAAAACGCATTCAGAGGAAGTTGATAGTTTGATACCGTAGTAGTTTGATACCATTGATACCGTAGTCGTTTTTTTGTCCAGCAGACTATTGAATTATTGTAATGCTCATATATCGAATCTAAAGGAATAAAAAAAGTGGATCAGTTTAAAGTTACAGTAAGACATAAGGCTTAAGCTTTTATCCTAGACAAGATGGAGTTCGTTGGTATTAAGTGAAGTCACGGGTTCAAATCCCGGGCTCATAAAAGACCTACTGTTGCATCAGTTGTACAAGATTTTTTAAAAATATATTGATTTAAGTCTTGTCCATCTTTTTGAAATTTCTTTTATAAATGAAGCCGATTAATGTGTGTTTTGTTTTAAATAAAAAAAGCTATCGATTTAACGATTTGGGCCAAAAATTTCAAAAAAGTGCCTCAAACTTCTTTCGTAGCTGCCCTGAACGGCAAACGATTGCGTTTGGGTGGGCAGCTACGCAGAAATCAAAAGCTTTTTTTCGTTCTTTTCGCAGAAATCAAAAGCTTTTCTTCAAAATCGTTGTATCGAGAGTCAACTGTATTTCATTTAGCTCATTTTTAACCAAATTTGAGTCCCCTTTGAAGCAAATTTGAACAGGAATTCTTGATAAAACAAACCATAAATCATTTTGTTCATTATTCATTTCAAAAAGTAACCTTTAAAAAAAGCGAACTTTCCGATCAACCTGATACTTTGACATTCAGGTCAATGTACTTTGCATATATCGTACTGCATATCGTACTGTATATCGTACTGTATATCGTACTGCATATCGTACTGTATACCGTACTGCATATCGTACTGCCTATCGTACTGCATATCGTACTGCATATCGTACTCCATATCGTACTGCATATCGTACTGCCTATCGTACTCCATATCGTACTGCATATCGTACTACTTACTATTAGTTAGCCATTAGTTGTAAAGTTCACACCATTTATAACCAAAAAAACCCCCCATCGGTTCCTTTACGCTTTAGGTGACAATGGCTGAAAAAAAGCTTTCATTGTCTCTCGCTTTTTTTTTTACTTTTAATGACTAATGGATGACCGATTCAGATCGCTTTTTGTATTAGCTCTCTTGCGCTAATATTTCTTTTGTCATAAGTCTAGAATGCTTTTACTAGAACCACATTTTATATTCTTTTCCCCATTTTCTCATTTAATTCATCAAATTTTCGATGAGTAGAACAATTGATTTCGAAGAATCAATAGATTTTCTCAAAAATCATTCACAATTACGATTATTTACTGCCGATAAATGGGTTACTCTGAAGTAAAGAGATTAGGTCCGTGTAATGGTTAACACGATTGCCCGGTAAGTGAAAGATCGCGGGTTCGAGTCCCAGCGACGCACAAGTTTTGATCTGCCCCAGTTCCAACTCATGTCTAAAACTTGCCAACTCTCGTAAACTACCGTAATCTTGTCTCTATTCTTATCCAAATCTATTCACTTTTTATATTTTTCGTTATCCTTTGTGAATCCTCACAAAATGAGAGCAAAAGTGGTAGATTAGATAAAAACTTGAAAAGATTACGGTAGAAATTCCCACGTTTTAGAAAACTTATTATTATAAAGGAACATAGTCAGTGCAACGCTTGAAGTTGCCTTCCTTTTACTGTACTTTTAGGCTACGGTAACTATTGGATTCACTATAAAAAAACTCGCAGAACCAATTCATTTTTTTTCACCCAAAAGAGGTCACTCTTTTTTTTTACCGCACGCCGGAATTCAAGGTTTCAAAATATCCGAAATTTCTCATAAAAACCATTGATTTTTCGGCTCGATAACCGCTGGGGAGCCACAATTTATGAGAGAAAAGGGATTTTTTGTCACAAAAATTTTTCCCGCAAAAGAAATCGAGGTTCGGATTAAGAAAATGGATTAAATCTTCCGAATTTCACAAAAAAAATAAAAAAAATCAAATTCCGATTCGAGCGATTTCGATCTAATTACCAATAAAAAGGTTGGAGGGTGAAATTATGATGGAAAAATCGGGGAAAGAAAGAGGTGCAGTTAGTGCAATAGTTTAACTCGTGCACTCGAAAGTCTGCTAACATTTTGGTATTTTGGACATCAAATCAAAATCAAAACGCTTAATTTTGAGTACATTCAAATGTTCTTTGGACTATGTTTTCGAATTCTGACATTGCTTCGTTTAATTGATTGCCGAATTTTCAATTGTAAGTCTACTTTATTTTCATAATTCAATCATTCAATTCAATATCTTGATCTTGAAGCTCTAGTGGATCTTGATCTTGAAGCTCTAGTGGATCTTGAAGCTCTAGTGGACGTTATCTGTGCTACCCACATTTTACATATCTTATATCGTGTTTCTTTTTATCGACCCTTTTCGTGTTATGTGTATGAATTCATGTGTTTTAATCTTAAATCTAGCGCACTTTATCTCAGGTCCTGAATAAAGTATCTATATATATGTCGTAGCCGCTAACGAAATTCAGCCGCTAACGAATGATTCGTTAACGGCTAGCCGCTAACGAATGAAATTTTTCGCTAGCCGTTTACGAATGATTCGTTAGCGGCTAGCCGTTTACGAATG